CCAGGGGGAAAGAGAAAAGGAGGGGAAGAAAGTAAGATAGAAACGAGAGATAGAAAAACGTATTAGAGAAAAGGGAAAGACAGACAGAAAAATAGACACTCAGGTAGATAGATAGTTATAAAGATAGATAGATAGATAGACAGATAGATAAAGAGAGAGAGAGAGAGAGAGAGAGAGAGAGAGAGAGAGAGAAAGACTCACGCAAACAAAAAAAAGCGAAAAAAGAGATTGTGGGAGAGACAAGATGGGGATACAAAGCGAAGAGAAAGAAAGAGATAGAACCACGAAAACAAACTGAGAAAGATAGAAAAACAATATAAAAATTGATTTAAAAAAGGTAGATAGATAGATATAGAGTGTGTGTGAAATAGTAGTATTGAGATAAAAATAGATAAAGTTAAAGAGAGAGAGAGAGAGAGAGAGAGAGAGAGAGAGAGAGAGATTGACAGCCAGAGAGAGCGATAAGCTCCAGGATAATGAGTGCAGGAACTTAGCATTTCCGAAATAGTCGGAAACTTGTAAAACATATAATTTTTTACTCTTTCCCGTTGGTTTGTGTAATGTGAGCCAATTTTCGCTGCATGATTGGCGAGATGGTGAATATCACGTACTTATCAGTCGATACGTGTTTTAAGTCCGAATCCGGCGTAAGAAATTATCGTTTTGTTGCGATTTATTAATGACGGAGTGTTGAAAAACCATTATCGCCGTGAAGAACTGAAACTGATCGTTAAAATTTCTCTATGTATTCATGATTTTTATTGAATGTTATATAGTAATAATACTTTTTTAACCCAGAGGTGAATTGTCGCATATTCCGGTTGGAGAGATGCTCTAAAATGTTCGACACTTAACGGTTCAAGCGGTCAAAGCCTTCCAAACCTTAAATCTCAGAAATCGCCTAAAATCGTAATAAAATTTCGACAATGTTGATAAATGGAGACGGAAGAGAAATCCCATAATGGTCAATAATTGCCGGCCTTTTTCGGCTGGAATGCGGGAGTAATTATTAAGAGACGCATTAGAGTGTTTCGCGGCAATAAAGACCCTTTGAGGACGGATGAGAGGTGATAGGTTTGATTACAGGGGCTGTCTGTCATGAGAGAGACAATGCCTTTCTGATTACAGCCAGCCCCTAACGTCTTCAACAATCGTCTATTCAATCAATTCAAGGCGACTGAAAGACACCATGTGATTTATTAAAGCCCGAAGTACGGGAGTTAATAATTTCGAATCGCTTCTTTCATCTGGAGAATTTTGAGCCGTGTACATTTCCGGAGCTGGTATTTCTCGTTTTATGACAGACAGGTATCACTGACGCCATCTTAGGTAGATGCCTGTCACATCATCCGACATACCTAAAGGATAATCGAATTAACGATTATTCGTCTTTTCTTATGTTCTTCAGTCGAGCAACATTACTAGAAGCGTGTGTGGTGTTTAGTGGCCATTAGCTTATTAAAGTTATTGTTTTCGACGCTTCCAGTCATGATGATTTGGAGATCGTGAGATGCGGTCTGGTTTTAGAAAAAATTTAAACTGTAAAATTTAAACAATGTTTATAACCCAGGCTCTGAAGATGATCTCAATAAAGATCGGAACGTTGGCACGATAAAGAAAATTTTTTCTAAAACCTACGTCACTCCAGATCGCACCTCACGATCTCCAAATAATCATTACTGGAAGCGTCGAAAACAATAACTTTGTATAAAATTCCTATTTTATTGTTATATTTAATCTTAAGAAAATAAAATTGTTTTTAAGGCTAGAATGAGTTCGACTTTCAGTGCCACTTCCCAGCCCTGAAGGCCCTTTCTGGTACGAAAAGCCCGGCTTAAGTCCTAATTTAAAGCTTTAAGCTTCCATCCAATTCGCCGAGTAGGGGTTAAAAAAACCGGGTTAATTTAGTGTGACAAGATTAATTTGAATCCCTATGGTAGACCGCAAATGGTTCTAAGTTTTTTACCTCACGCACAATATTTATTTCGACCCAATGGAGCAAATAAGAGTTGCGCAACCTTGGTCATTTTCTTGTTTACAAAGATGAAAGGCTGTCGAAAAATGACCGACGATTCAATACAACGTACACGTTGAAAATCAAATTGCAAAACAGTTCAGCCTCTTCTGCCCAAGAAATGGCAGAAGAATCCGCAAAGAAAGACGGTGCTATAAAACAATTTGGAAGCGTTGGACAGCGATTGGACAAAACTGATCATCTCCCGTCAGAGTGTTGTTCTTGGTCAGACGTGACCCAAGCTTCGTCCTCGATAAGTGAGTTTTCTCTTTTTGCAGAAATTCTATTGGTCGCCAACGAAAAAGACATTAAAAACGCAAATTAGAATCATGTTTCGTTGGGTTTGGGTTTAATCCGGTTCTGATAAAAAATAAAATAAAAGTATGGATATTTAAAAAAATGAAAACGAGGGAGTGAAAAAGAAGTGGAAGGATGAAATGTCTGTGTGAGATTTGATTTGATAAATGATTTATTTTTACAAATCTCGCAGAGTTAGGTCAATTTGACTAACAAACATTTTACAATTTGAACTTACAAACATGCGCTTCAAGGTGATCATATGTATATACAATAATAAAAAACAAAACAATAAAAATAGAAAATTTAATCTGAATGTGAAACAATAATAATAACCAAAGAAAAATTTACATTAATTTAACTGTAACAAATCAATAAATAAAGAAAATTATATAATTACAAAATTTACTAGATTACGTACGTATAAAATGAAATTTTCACCACTTTATTAAAACTGTAATAAATCTATTAAGGAACAAATTCTAAAAAGGACTTACAAATTTGTGCAAAATAACATACATTGCACTATAATAGTTTGAATACTTGACAGATATAATAAATTCAATTATTAATCATTCTTTGTTAGTAGTTTTACATAAAGTTAGTTTTTTCATTTCTTCCGTATTGGAGGCTTTCTTAATTTCATCTCAGAGACAGAAGGAGAGAGAGGAAGAAAGAGATTGACGGGAGAGAGAGAGAAAGAGGGAGGGAGAAAAAGTAAAAATAAAGATAGATATAGAAAAAAAGATTGAAAGAAAAACAAAAATAGGTAAACAAAGAAAGAGTGAGTGAGTGAATGACAAACGGCCCGAGAGAGAGGGACAGACAGCCAGGGAGAAAGACAAAAAGACAAAAGGAGAAAAACAAAGAGATAAAACGATAAAAATAGTATAAAAACAGAGAGAGAGAGAGAGAGAGAGAGAGAGAGAGAGAGAGAAGGAAAGATAGAAAAAAGAGAAAGACAGACAGCAAACCAGACGTTCAGTCAGATATATAGAGTGAGAAAGAGACTCACACAAACAAAAAGAAGAAAGGGATTGTGTGAGACACAAGATGGGGATACAAAGGCAAAGAGTGAAAAGGAGAAAACAACATGCAAACAAACTGAGAGAAATAGAAATGAATATAAGGAATGATAAAAGAGATAGGTAAATACACAGATAGGTAAATAGATAGAAATATAAATAGAGTGATAGTGAAAAAGTAGGATTGAGAAAAAAAGAAAAATAGAGAGAGGTAATGAGATAGATAGATGGATAGAGAGAGCGCGACAGACCGTCAAAGAGCAAGAGAAAAAGAGAGATAAAAAAGTGTAAGAATAAGAGAGAGAATGACAGACATACATACAATGAGGGGAGAGAGAGAGAGAAGAGAGAAAGAGAGAGACTCACACAAACAACAAAAAAAGCGAAAAAAAGAGACTGTGGGAGACACAAGATGGGGATACAAAGGCAAAGAGTGAAAAGGAGAAAACAACATGCAAACAAACTGAGAGAAATAGAAATGAATATAAGGAATGATAAAAAAGATAGGTAAATACATAGATAGGTAGATAGATGGAAATATAGATAGAGAGATAGTGAAAAAGTAGGATTGAGAATAAAGAAAAATAGAGAGAGATAATGAGATAGACAGATGGATAGAGCAAGAAAAAGAGAGAGATAAAAAGTGTAAGAATAAGAGAGAGAGAGAGAGAAGAGAGAAAAAGAGAGAGAGAGCAACAGACCGTAAAAGAGAAGGAGAAAAGGAGAGATAGAAAAACTGTAAGAAAAAGATAGAGATAGAGAGGGAAAAGTGAAAAAGTGAAAGAGAGAGAAAGAGAGAGGGGGAAGAGAGCGAAAAACTCACACAAACAAAAAAAAGCGAATGAGAGACACGATTGGGAGACGATGGGAGTAGGACAGAAATAGAATCATATTAGAGAAAAAGTGAGAGGTAGTGAAACTACTTGACGAAATAAGCATAAGGATGACAATGAGATCTTTAGAAAGACGAAATATAGAGTGAGAGGTGAAGAAAGGTAGCGAGCGACCACATACACTACTAAATCCTAATTTTGGTTTAATTTAAATAATTCAAGAGCTTGGCAAGATTTGATTAAAAGATATGGTGTGAGATAGGATAAATAATTGAAGCGGAAATTTATTCTTTCTGGTTTTTATGTTTGTATACGTAGGTTTAGCGGATAAAGGACACAGTAAAAAAAAAGGCTACCGAACTTTTTAACAACCTACTTCACTCTTCCATAAGTATTAACACAAAGCGTTACGATGTACACATTGCGTTTATTATTCGTTTCGCCGCAAGATGGGAGTCAATTATTTACATTAGACTTACCCGGCGAGCGTTCTTTGTTCGAAACCCTTTACACAAAAGGAATACATATTTCTATATATGGTATATGAAACAAAAGACAGGCAGACGTCAAGCTGTGAAATACCGATTTTAAAAGGTGGCTAATTGTAAGTGGAATGAAAAGGACTTCGAAAGAACAAAAGTTACGCGTTGGTAAACAGGTACATCAACATGCACAATGCACAGTTTAACAAAAGGCGGTTAACTTTGAAATAACACCCTCCTAACGGCATATCAACAAAATTCCCGTGTCACAATCAAATTCAAATGTATCTGTAATGTAAGCATTTCAAATATAACAGTATTTTAAAAATCTTTTTTTGTTTGGTTTCAGGAGTTGCTGTCGAAAGGGTCGAAAAAGAGGACGACCCTACTCGTCCTCATAGTCGTCCTCGTATTCTCCGTCATCGCCGCAGTACTTTATTTCCTCAAGCCTACGTCAACGCCTCTAAGGGCTCAGGAACCTCTTAAAATGACAAAGAAGGGAATATCCTTTAAGTCCTTCGTCGAGGGGGAATACGTTCCGGGCAAATTCAACGGAACGTGGGTTTCAGGTAATAGACATGTCTACGCCAATCTTTTCCTCCTTTTACACGGATAAATAAAGACAGACAGTACCAACTGAGATCTTTCAAGAAAAAATAAACAAATAAAACTCTCATAAAATAATAATAAATAAAATTATTATTATCATTTTAATACCGGTACTCGATTTCTTGTAAATATCGTAAATCTTATACAATTAATTTTATATAATGCTTAGGTTTTATATAATGCTTAGGTCTTTAATTAATTAATTTTTATTATTATTATTATTGGATTATTAAAATGTAATTGAATATGTGACCGTTAGTCGATGATTATTCGGAAATCGTGAGATGCGGTCTGGTGTGATGTAGGTTTCAGAAAAAGCTAAATTACGCTCGGTCAAATGGTCAAAGCTAACAAAGTAATTTAATTAACGCCAATCGTAGATAATAAAAATTTTATTTTTCGTTCTATTTTACGCTACTGTAATCCGTTTCAAATGCCCCTATTCTGCAGTACAAGTCACTCTTTCTATGATGTTTTCATGCATTTTACAATTCTAAATTATGTACATATTAACATTTTTTCCTACTGTGTGCTATGTTTGTGTGTGTATGTCTGTGTACAGCACAAGTGATGAAATTGTAGAGTAAACAGTAAAAAGAGTAAATTATTATTTTTTTTTAAATGTGTATAAAGTTTTGTATTGGCTTAATTTTTTTAACTTTTTCAAATGTCCCTATACTACAGTACAAGTGACTGTTTCTATGCTGTTTTCATGCATTTTACCATTCTAAACTTGTGCATTTTATATTTTTTTCCTACTGGTTCTTATGTTTCTGTTCCTACAGTAAAAATAAATAAATTAGTCTTTTTTATTGGTTTATAATATGTACATAATTGAAAGAGAAAAAAATTATTGATTTTCTTTTATTTTTTCTTCTTCTTCTTTTTGCCTTCTCTTTCTTCCTCTTCTACCTCTTCTTCTTCTTCATCTTCTTCTTCCATGTCATAGTCATTTATAAACCGACCCTATTTAGGCCTCTCCCTTTTCCCATTAGAAATCCAACTTCACGGGTACCAAATTGTTTACCTGAATATGCAAATGTGTAACCTGATTTGAGTTTTAAAATTTTTACTTCTCCTAGTCGTACCTCGTATATTCCCAGGATATCTATGTCATTCATTGCATTTTCTAGCTCTATCAGTTTATCTTCATTTCTTAACGATCTTACATTTCATGTTCCAATTTTTAAATTGTTTTTGTTCTTGAATTTGAGTTTGGGAGTGGGAGAATGTGGTCTCAGTTTCCCTCAGTGGCCAGTCGTTCTGGGAAACTATTCTATCCTTACAATTTTTAATTATTTGCGTGTTGTTCCATTTTCAATTCCGGGTCTTTCCTTAGCTATGTTGTCCATTCGTTGCTAAGTGAGTTTATCTACTGTTTGTTCACTTAGACAGGCCTTAATTGAATTTTGATTCTCACTTTTTTGGCCTACTAATTTCATATATTTTTTCTTTGTTACATTTTGCTTCATTGGGGTTGGTGAGTTCGTTATTTCTCTTTTCCTTTTCGGGTTTTCTTTTATTACTAGCCGATCTGAGATGAAAAAATCCATTTTTCCCTCCTCTCTGGCCTTCTTCATTTCTGGCATTTGCTCCCTAATTCTCTCTCTCTCTCTCTCTCTCTCTTGCTCAATTCCATATCCTCTGCAATGGTGATTTCGCTACGTTTTAGGTTCTTTTTATTTTTTAGTATGATTATCTTTTTCCTGTATGTCGTTAATCCGATCATTATTGGCCTTATTTGTCCCTCTTTAGCCTGTCCGAGACGTCTCTAATTCTTCTTCTATCAAGTTCACTTTAAGCTTCTCTCGCAGCAGTTTTATGACAAATTGTTTAGTGTCCAAATATCTTTCATTGCATATTTCTTCCACACTGAAAATTATAATATTTTTCCTTTTATTCAAACTTTCTAATGCATTGCTTTTTCTTATGCACTGCCATATTTTTTTTTAATGTTATTCTCCAGTCTATTTACAAATTTTTCGAACTGGCTTTCCATATCTGTGCTCATATCTGCTTTGAATTTGGTTAGTATGCTATTCATTAGCTGATAGAGTTTTTCTTTCTTTGTTCATTATATAGTTTTCTTCTGTGATGTTAAGAATTATTTTTTTCCAATAGTATATAAAATTTTGCATTGTTTAATTAATTTATTTTTTCTTTTTCTTCTTTTTTTTCCCCAACTGTCCCTATTCTACAGTATAAGTGACTGTTTATATCATAATATTTTCATGCATTTTACAATTCTAAATATATTACAATTAATTAAGGTTTTTTGGTTAAGATAAAAAAGTCAATGGCACGAGCGGGAATCAAACCCACGATCTTCGGCTAGATACGCCGCTGCTCTACCACTTGAGCTATCGTGACCTCGATCCACTCTGACACTAACTTCCCATCTCAACCCCACCTTTTGAATTTTCCCTCCTTTTTGCCATTTTATCTCCACCAAAAAACCTTAATTAATTGTAATATATTAATTGGTCAAGCGGACCACAAAATTAGTGAATTTAATTCTAATATATATAATTTTTTTTAATGTAAAAGTTTCAAATTGGCTTAATTTTTTTAGAAGTTGGTGAAACTATTGATTTTATGCGTACTATTCCAAATTATTGGCCATTCTGTATATTTACTAAAATAAATTCAATCCGAACAGAAATGTGCCTGTTCTTTTTGAATTTTAAGCAGGCATAAATTATGACATATTAAAAACTTCATATTCATTTTCAGATTATGAAGTGCTGTATAAGTCGATGAACGGAGATATCATGATCTACAATGCGATGTCGAACAAGTCGAGAGTGCTCCTCGGGAGAGATGTTGGTGTAATGACTCTTTTAAAACTTTATTCTTTTTTTAAAAAAAAGAGTTGCTTTTTTTTAAGACTTATTTTTCTGTATTTGTTTGCAGGTTGTATCAACTTCATTTAGCTATGAATTATCTGCTGATCGTAATTACCTTCTTCTCGGATACAACTACCAAAAGGTATGAAGTTTTTCTTTTTAAATAACATTTGACCTTTTTGTAAACTTATCTTTTTTTTCCTTGCAGATGTATCGCTACACCTATCTGGCATTTTACAACTTTGTCGAACTCGATACAATGTAAGTTGTCACAATATTTTATTTATTTATTTGTATTCTTTTATTTTTTATTTATTTAATTATATATTTTGTAGGAAAAAATGGCCTTTGACTGACATGACTGGAGATGAGATTCCAGTTCAGCTTGTGACTTGGGCTCCGATTGGCAACGCTTTTGTCTACGTTTACATGAATGATATTTACTACAAGCCATCTGCAAAACAGCAGCAAGAATTCAGAATAACCAGAACAGGACGCCCCGGAAGTATTTACAATGGTGTTCCAGATTGGGTGTATGAAGGTAATTATTCAACTTTAATCAAATATAATGTAAATATTTGCTATTGCTATTAAATCAAAAAATGTTTTCAGAGGAAATATTTAATTCAAATAAGGCCTTGTGGTTCTCTCCTGATGGAAATTACCTAGCCTATGCTACATTTAACGACAGCCGTACGCCCGTTATGAATATCCCTTACTACGGCCTTCCTGGAGATTTACGCTACCAGTACATGCAAGCTATCAATATTCGCTACCCAAAGGTACTCTTTTTGATAATTTTTCAAATTTATTTTTTAAATGTTTGCTCGAACTATTTTATTTTTTCAGACTGGAAGACCGAATCCCACGACAGCCCTTAGTTTGACTGACCTAGCTCATTTACAGGTTCATAAAACGATAAAAGAATATGACTTGCCCGCACGCGCAACTTTAAAGTAAGTGGTAAAGGGTGAAACAAACTTTTATTGAAATGTCACTTTATTACTTAAGACAAAAGTGTAATTAAATTTTATGAGTTGTATATAAGGCATACTTCATAATCAATTACATTAATTAAAGAAATGTATATTCAAATGAAAAGCAGCATTTTTAATAGTTTTATATTGCCATTTTTAAACATTAAAACTTTGTTTTTATATTTTTTTTATATAGAGAAGCAGTGCTTTATAAAGTTAATTGGGCAGGGCCTTCAAACCTTATCTATATATGGATGAACCGGATACAGAATGAAGCTGAAATTTTTCAGTATTCTACAACCACTGCACAATTAAGACAGGTATTTTAAGTCAGTGTAATAAATATCTTAACAACAAGTTAATTAAAATGTGTATTTTAGCTGATGGGGCTGCAAGAGAAGCACGGTTGGGTGATCATAGACGAGCCTAAATTTTCTCCTAATTTCACTCAAATGGCAATGATAGTTTCCTTCGATCAAGGCAACGATTCGGGTAAATACAGGCACCTTGCCCTTGTAGACCTCAATGACCCGAATCCGCTTCCAATCGCTCTTACTTCTGGCAAATTTGTCGTCACCGAGATCGCTGCGTTCGATAAGGCACACATGTAAGAAGTTTATTTCATAATAATTATTACGAGAAATAATGATTTTTTTTATGTAGTTATTTCATGTCCAATGCAAACGGCCATCCTGGAGAGTTAAGAGTTTTCAGAGTACCAGCTACAACTGAAAATGCCCCGCACAAACTTGAATGCATTTCCTGTGCCCACGATCAAACCGACATGGGACAATGTCTGTACTCTGGAGCGACATTTAGCAAAAGGGCTTCTTATTACGTCCTCTCTTGTGCTGGACCTGTTGTGCCAGAGATAAACATATATAAAAAGGTAAAAAATCAGTTTTTCTATTTTAAACAGGCGCCAATGCTCTAAGTGCTTATCGCTAAGTGATAGGAGAACATTAACCATTTTTTTGAATGGAAGGAAGGTAAGGTTGAAAAAATTTAAAAAAATAAAACCAAAGAGAAAATTTATTGGAGCATCTTAATATAGTAACACCAGTCTGACTGGGGATGAGATTATTTACAAGAGGACTTATCCTCATTTTCCAGGATCTTCTTCCTTCATCTTCCTGGATTGTCAACTCTATTTGACCTGTTGCAATGACTAGATCCTTCCTGGTTATCCTCGACTGAGTGTGGCTGCTTGACTGACTCCTCCACTTGGCCGTGGCTTCTATTGACCCTTCTTATTCAAAGAATTCACTAATTTCATGGTGCTCTTGACCAATTAATACATTACAATTAATTAAGGTTTTTAGTTGAGATGAAAAAAAAGTCAATGGCACGAGCGGGATTCGAACCCATGATCTTCGGCTAGATACGCCGCTGCTCTACCAATTGAGCTATCGTGACCTCGATCCACTCGGACATCAACTTCCTATCTCAACCCCACCTTATGAGTTTTCCCTCCTTTTTGCCATTTTTCAACTAATGCTCTTCGTGGCCATTTCATTTGTCGTTGAGAATCCAATCCAATTACACAACATTTGAAAAATTGCAAAAAGGAGGGAAAATTCAATAGGTGGGGTTGAGATGGGAAGTTAGTGTCCGAGTGGATCGATATCACGATAGCTCAAGTGGTAGAGCAGCGGTGTATCTAGCCGAAGATCGTGGGTTCGAATCCCGCTCGTGCCATGGACTTTTTTTCATCTCAACTAAAAGCCGTAATTAATTGTAACTTATTCAAAGAGTTCTCGTGTTGACTGGTCCCTTGAATTGACTGAGTCCTTGGATCGACTGTGGCTGCAGTTGAGTGTAATTTAAATGAGTCCCTAACTCCAGCTGAGTCCTCCTGGCTCTGGATGATCGAGTCTGTCCTCCTATCAACTGCTTCCAAGACAATTGACTCTATTTGAATCATCTTGGTGCTGGACAGTCGACGCCATATCTCAGCCACTGCCTTTGACTGACCCTGTGAACCATTGACTGACTGACGGTGCATTTCAAATCATCCCTTTTTATACCAGTTCCCCAACCAGGGATATACCTGTAACCCAATTTACAACTATTCCTAAGTTATGCTTGGGATTGACCTACACTATTAATAAGTAAATTCACTAATTTCGTGGTCCGCTTGACCAATTAATATATTACAATTAATTAAGGTTTTTAGTTCAGATAAAAAAGTCAATGGCACGAGCGGGATTCGAACCCACGCTCTTCGGCTTGATACGCCGCTGCTCTACCACTTGAGCTATCGTGACCTCGATCCCCTCGGACACCAACTTCCCATCTCAACTCCACCTTTTGAACCTTTTTATCTCAACTAAAAACCTTATTAATTTATATATTAATTGGTCAAGTGGACCACGACAATAGTGAATTTAATGATTTAAAATGAAGTATAATTCACTAAAGCTCTCCGTGGCCATTTCATTTGTCATCGAGAATCCAATCTGATTACACGACATTTGAAAAATGGCAAAAAGGAGGGAAAATTCAAAAGGTGCAGTTGAGATGGGAAGTTGGTATCCGAGTGGATCGAGGTCACAATAGCTCAAATGGTAGAGCAGCGGCGTATCTAACCGAAGATCGTGGGTTCGAATCCCGCTCGTGCCATTGACTTTTTTATCCCAACTAAAAACCTTAATTAATTGTAACTATTAATAAGAGTTTATTTTAGGATGATTATTGTTTTTTGTTTTTATAGACTGGAGAGCATGTAATGACATGGAATTCAAATGAAAGGCTAAAGAAAAAGCTCAGCAAGGTCCTCACCCCTGAAAAGAAATACATGGAATACGAAGTTGCGCCAGGGATGAAAGCGCAGATTCAGTTGTCCATTCCTCCATTCGCTGATCTGTCTGGCGCCATTAAATACCCGTTACTTGTCCATGTGTAAGCAGATTGTAATAATTATACATCAAGTTACCGTTTATTTAATATATTTATTTCTCCTTAGTTACGGTGGGCCGGATTCAAATGCCGTGTTTAAAAGGTTCAGTGTCGACTGGGACACATACATTACAGTCAATAAGTCAATAATCTATGCAAGAATTGATGGTCGAGGTTCAGGGTTAAAAGGAGACAAAGTCACATTTGCCAACTACAGGCAGCTCGGTACATATGAAGTTCAGGACCAAATCAACATTACAAGGTATGTTAGTTACAAAAATATTATCAATTAACCATAATTGAAAATGAAAATTTTTGTTAGATACTTGACTGAGAAGCTTCCATATATCGATCCAGCAAGGACAGCAATTTGGGGATGGAGTTACGGTGGCTATGTGGCTGCCATGGCTCTAGTCCAAGATAGTAGAGATGTATTCAAATGTGGCATATCAGTTGCACCAGTTACCGATTGGTTCCTTTACGGTATTATATTTAAATTGCTTTTAATTTATTTAATTGACAATTATAACTGTTTTTTTTCCTCTAGATACTATGTACACTGAAAGATTCATGGGTCTGCCCTCTGCTGATGACAATCTTAGAGGTTATGAGAAGGCGTCTCTCTTCAACAAAGTGGACAACTTCAGAAAGAAGAAATTCATGCTCATACATGGAACTTTGGATGATAACGTCCACTACCAGCACTCAATGATGCTTGCCAAAACGTTGGAATTGAAGGACATATTATTTGAACAACAGGTAAATTACATTCTTTGATTTAAAGTAAAATAACTTAGATCTTAATTTAATTTTTTTACACAGAGTTATCCCGATGAAACTCACAGCCTTAGCGATGTCAGGCCCCATCTTTACCACTCGATGGAACATTTCTTGAACCAGTGCTTCAAACTGAATAACAACTTTCTATAGAAACCAACGATGTATGAAAAATTACAAAGACAAAATAATTACAAGAAAAGAAAATGTTTACGTGTATATTTAGCTTTTGATGTGATCTGAGAAAATGGGAGACTTATCGTTTGTATTATAAACAATTTAAATGATCTAGTTCATTCAAGCACACCACTTCTGTATAAATCGTGTGGAGTCGAGTTTTCTTTCAAAATATCAAGCATTGTAAATAGTTACTTTCAATTATTTTTGTGTGATAAAACGTTGTACATTATTTTATAAATTTTGTATAAAAATTGTTAAATTTTTAAGTATTGTTTGTTTTTAATTGTAATTAAATATTTTGTAAATAACAGAAAATCTCCACAATTTTATTTGCGCCACCTTTTAAAACAAGGGGTGCCCCAGACTGGTAAATTTGGCAGAAATAAAGAATACATTATTGTTTTTTCCTTTTCACTTTTTTACCTTGAAACAAACAAAACATTCTTAAAATTTTCAGGCAATATTTTATATTTAATTACTAGGACTACCACTATTAAACTGAAGATTAACTATTCATCGAGCGACATGAGATTATGCATATTGTTATGCAAATTGATCAATAATTGACAAAGTGCTAAATTAATTTATTGATGAGATTAATCAATATTTGGTATATCTCCAATTCTAAATCTGATTTACCCCTGTAATATATTATGATACAGCTGGGGATCAACTCAAGAATTAGTTAATATGATCCGATCCAAAGTTACAGCTTAAAAAATATAAAAAGCTTTCTCCTCTAATTTTTAAAAATTAGTATTAATTACACAAGTTTTTAAATGAGACCTCATGATTATATATCAACAAAAATAGCTTAATAAATAAATAGAATAACTGTAACTTTCTTTAAAAACAAAATATTTATTTCCATCTGGATAAAAAAATATACTGTGTAATTTTTATCATACATATTTACAATACATTGACACAGTAAATGTCTTGTGGGGAGTTAACAACCTTTATCGTTTTCACAACATTATTCAAGGGCTAATCTTGGCGGGGAGGTCCCGAGGCTAGCTTTAATCGTCTTACAGGATTATAGGGATGGGATGGATACTAATGGGGCTAATGGATTGGGGTGAGTGAAAATTTTATCGTGTCACTTGGAAAATTTGGTGGTGATTAATTTATTTATAAAGGGTATTTTGAGGTTTGGTATTGGACACGTAAAAGCGTTGACTATGATTCTGAGAATTTTGGATTGGAAGGACTGATTCGTTGGATGGCCCTGCAGCCCAACATGTCCAGGTATGCAGACAGATGTTTTTTCCGAGATTCTACAATTAAACATATCTTTCGAACAAAAGTCGAGAGGAACCACCAAGAATTTTTCCCAAGGATGTGCCAGGTTGCTTGTAGCTTAGCTGGCACTGCAATGTATCACAGTGAAATTTATAAGGGCCAGTCAAAGCCCTTCCACACGCCACTAAAGGGAGGAGGAAGGAGACTTCCACTGGAAGAGGCCTGTTGGGTTTGCGCTGGACTAGAGGAGACATGTTTGAATTTTTTTTTTTTTGTGAAAAAGCAGACCATTTTCATCGAGCGAGAATCATCACGCAAGTTTTTTTCATTTTAATTTGTTTTTCACAGAAAAGGATTTCTTTATCATTTAGTTTACAACAAAGAGTCAAATTTTTCATTTGTTTAATCAACAAAAAGTCTGTCTTGTAGTTTGTTTATTTAATTTTATTATTATTAATAATAATAATAATAAATCAATATAAGAATTGTTTCCGTTATTTAAAAAAAAAATAGTAATAATATTTAGTCAAGTAAGAATGTTTCTGTATTTTAATATAAAAAAGTAATAATAATAATCAATCAGTTTCCTTTACAAAATTCTGAAATTGTTAATTCCAAACTGACGACCTTAATTTCAAGTTTTGTTAATATTTCAACATAAGAATTGTTTCCGTTCTTCAATTTAAAAAAAATAATAATAGTAATATTTAGTCAATGTAATAATTGTTTCTGTTTTTCAATTTAAAAGAAGATAATAATAATAATCAGTCAATTTCCTTTACAAAATTGTCAAATTGTTAATTCCAAACTGACGACCTTAATTTCTAATTTTGTTAATATCTCAATATATGAATTGTTTCTTTTTTTAATATTCTTTTGTTTATTATTCATTTATTTATCTAAACAAGGAAAAGATCCACTCCCTCAGGGAAGGACCAAACAGTAAGGCAATAAATGCAGGCGTAGAGTCTATGAAGTGTATACTATAATAAATCATTAAAAGGGTTATTCTATTTTATTTAGGTGATCAAAAATAAAACCTCATTTTATTGATTAGTTGATTTAAACTGATATCTCAAATTTAAAGAAAGTAATACATAAATCAAATAAACAGACCTTTTTATAAAGTAAAATACAAATAAATTACAATAATTTCATCAGGCGTTAAAAATTATTACTCTGGGTCTTCGTCGAAATAGCCAGATTTTTCCAAAATAGTCTGTTTTACTCTGTGTAAAAGCTCCAATTTGACAGACGCAGGAACTAGACCTTAAAATATCAACCCATGTAAAATTAATTATTTAAAAAAAAGTGCTGGCTTGAAATACCTCTGCCTTCTTTTCCAACTTCTTCATATAGTTCATTAATATTCTTGTGTGAATTTCGTGTTGCCTGACGACACAGCATGTAGATTTCGTCAACCCAACCGCATTCATAAAGCCTTGACCGTAGCAAGTCCTTAAACCTTTAATAAAATTAGAATTAGACTACTGTTTTTGTTCTTAAATGTGGAAATGACAAATATTGTAAGTTTGTAAGTACCTGTCATACTCTCCTGTAGCTTTAAGTACAACGAGCTGCTCAGATCCTGGTTCAAACGTCAATCCTGACATGTTGGCTGCAAAATTTTTTGTGTTAATTTCGTATTTGCAATCAAAAGAACTCAGGCAGGAAATTTTCAATCAATTTTCAAAGTTAATTTTCTATTAACCAAGAAATGATTTGTGAAATATATTTAGAGGATTGTGAGCTGATGGACCTGTAGCTTTATCATCTGGTCTACAAACTAAAAATAATTGTTTAATCAAAAGCCCAGGGGGGTCAGGGTCATAATATTATTAGACGGCAGATAAAGTCAGCATGATGTTGCCAGGAGACTTTGTAGATTGACAATAAAGGTTCTTCAGTGCTTGAAACTGGGCTTCACACGGGAAGACCAGAACAGGGTAAATTTAGGTCTACAGATGATAGAGATGATAGATTCATCCTTCATCAGGTTCTACGAAACAGCAGCATTATGGGAAATGAGATAAAGAATCTGATAAGGCAAGTCCTAAATGTTTAAATTTCCTCAAAGTCTGTAAGAGGAAACTCAATGAGAATAACTTGAGGGCCCGGTACCCGGCTCATGGACCTCTTTTACTGCAGCTAAGAAAATGTCCAAGTTACAATTCATGTGAATTGGATGCTGGAACATATGGGACAAGTTCTCTTAGATGAGGTGAGAGTTTTAAAGAAATTTTCAGATGGGGTAATTTCATATGTAGGTGCTCAGAAGGTAGGTGCACCCCATGCTGTATGGTTCCTCAGGTGACATTCCATGGTGAATGATGTTCTGGGGTGGCATTTCCTTGGATCCTGCACTGAATCAGTTGTTTTGCCACGAAGATCCTTAATTTCACATAGGTACGTACTAACAAGGCACAGTCAAAGATTCTTGCAGGATAATGTCACGCTTTATAGACATATTGGTCTCATGCCAGCACAACGTCCAGTTTTGAACCAAATCGAACACATTTGGGACCAACTTAAGCAACCGACAAGTATGACAGGTCCTAAACACCTAAGAAGAGTTGGAAATGGCTTCTTCATGAATGTGAAAGAATTCCTCAGGATTTTATCAGAAATCTTATCCAAGAAATGCAAAGGCGTTTAATGGGCATGGTTCATTCAGAGATGGAAATACTCGATACTAAAGGGTTTAATTATTCAGAAGTCTGGTGTGATGTAGGTTTCAGAGAAGCATTTTCTTTAACGTGCCAACGTTTCTATACCGACTTCCTTCGCACCCCTTCAAAATCCAACATATATAAACATAAAACAGCAATATCTCACTGGCACTCTCAACACTGGCCACTCAAGAACAACACACTCAAGAATGGCACAATTACACAGAAGACAATCACTTTGAGTGAGTAGAAATACTTTGATTGAAAATAAAAAATATATTTTTTGCATTGTATAAATTTTTTTTTTACACATCCGACATGTAATTGTTAAATTTAAACAATGTTTGTAAATCCCAGGTCCTGAAGATGATCTCAATAAAGATCGAAATGTTGGAACAATAAAGAAAATGTTTTTCTGAAACCTACGTCACACCAGACCGCATATTTCTGAATAATTATCGATTAACGGTCACTAACCACCATACAAATAATTGTTTATTTTAGAATTAGGCAAACGTTGTCTATTTAAATATCTTATTTTTATAACCAAACTTATTTCTGAAATGCAAAATATGAATAAATCTAAAATACATTAAAATCTAAGGGTGGTGTGTTTATTTTGTCCATTAATGTACATAGATTTTCAACAATGAGAGCTTATGCCTTATACTAAAAAACACTATTTTTTACTGATTTAATCTAAAGAGAAAATTTTGTTTTTTGTCTTAAAATCAGGGTTGATTTATAGTAAAATATAGTTTATGTGAATGATTCATCAACTTTCAAAGTATACAGTTTCTACATAAAAATCGTTTTCTTGTTTAAAATAAAAAATTATATTTGATATATTTAAGCCTATTTCTATTTATTGTAATTTACGGTGGGCAGAGAAATTGTCCATTGTTAATTTAACTATTTGTTTATTAAAATTACCTTTTGGTGTAGTCAATTAACAGACAGTTCACTTGTTTGTTGACAAATAGGAAGAATTCATGTGAGAGGTTATAGTGACTGTTATCCAAAACTGATAAGAATTCAAGAAATGAGGTACGTTCAAAAATCAAAATAAATGAAAAATCTGTCAAAAAATAATGTTGAACCGAGGTGAAAACCTAAGCAAATTGTTCTTAAATATATGAAAATAAAAATAATATCAATTATATTTTGTAGAATTACAAACTGAATCTGTTTAGATTGTCGAGTAAACATACATATTAGAAACAAATAGAAAAAAAAAGAAAAGATATGGGAAAAATTATGATTGACAAGGTTTTAATATAGAAAATGGACAATTAACTATGATCATAATGATTAATAACAAAATATCTATTATAGACCGAATTTTTATATCTCATTCTTGAATACAAATCTCTAACAATAATTATTTTGTAAAATCCTCTATTGAAAAATATTAAAGAATAAAATGGTGCAGAATAGTCTTCTATCATCCTCATATTTTTCTTCTTTTTTTGCATTTATCCATTGACTTAGAATTATCAAGTCTTGTTAGCTCATGTCTGATAGTTCTAGTCAAAATACACAAGATTAAGAACTAGTGATAAGTGACAATGTTCAAAACAAGTTTGGCTTTCAGATGGTTCAGCATGTTATTTATATTCTTTTTACTTCAAATCGGCACCTCATGGGTGTTCTGGTAAGTTGTAGCGTCAATTTATTTCTACAAAAAAAATTAAAATTTGCTTTTTGTTCATTTGTGAACTGGTAAGATAGATAAAATTATTGTTACTGGGAACTTACTTCCTCTCTGGAACGAGGTATGGTCTTGAAGAAAAAATGAAATTCCGTTGTTACCGCCAAGCTTTTGACTTATTTTAAGGTATCTTTGCCCTGATCATCTTAAACAATCTTAAATAGGTCTACAGATTGACATATTTAACTTTTTTTACAGGGATCTAAAATTTTCTTGAAGACTGACTCAGTTCTCATATTGCCAAAGACTGTCCGATCTATTTCAGATCCAGGTGGCATCGATAACTTCAATCGCAAAGTTAACTCAACAATTATTCTCATTATGCGAGCGGAACGACAGTTATGATCATTCCTACGCCTTCTGTCATGAAAGGCCGTTCACTGTTCTTATATCGAAAAAACCCAAGGACATTACCAAACAGATTTCTCCTGCCAAACGTAAATTGGCTGAGCCCGGGACCGTGAGTCGGCTGACTCTACATCGGTTGAAGTAGGCTGACTCTGGTGCAGCAGTTGGTATGCCTATAGCCAAGTCGGCTATGTTAGGCGAGTTCGAGGGTAACTCTGAGAGTACCCTTGCCATCGTCGTAGGTGCTTTATTAGTAATATGCGAGAACTCGTCTGAGGGTTGTTGGTGAGAGCTCTTCGGGTAGACAAGTCTGAAGCCAGTGGGGCAGTGCCGCAGTGGCCATGCTTATATACGTACTGGCTCTGCTCTGATTCGCTGCAAAGTGGAGGGCAAGACTATTCCAGAACCGGTAGTGAAATCTAACGGGTACCGTGGTAACTAAAGGTGGTCACCACAATAACAATTTCTTAGATGCCAGGGTATAAAGGAAATCTGAGTAATGAACAAGCAGACGAATTGGCCAGAGAATGAATAGTAAGACAATATATAGGCTCAGAACCTACAATTGGGTATCAAGATAAAAACTTAGATTCGTCTACCTCTCAATAAACATCGTAAATCCTCACCAAAACTGGCATGCACAATGCTGCAGTGTGATAGGGCAAAACTGGCAGGCGGAGTGACTGGCACCACACAACCAAACTTCATCACTATATTCAAGGATGACCTCATTTGTAGGTTATGCAGTGAGAAGTAAGAACTGACACACATATCTTTGACAGTGAAGCAACTGTAGATAATTTACAATACCAAAAGGTTACGGAAAACTAGCCGTAGTAATACAGTGAATGACCTCCTTCTTAAAGTAAGATTAGAGTCAATTGAATTGAATAAACTAGATAAAGTACAGTAAGTCACAAGTATGCAGTGTTTAGGGAACACCTACTTAGAACCCTCACTAATCACTATTTTTGAGCAGTCGTTTTGGTTTTGTATCAGCCGTTGCTTACTAGTTTTTTAATTATATGCTGTAGCCATTTTTGAGTGCCATGCTTTCTATTGTGCAGCAGTTCGTGCTCATTGTCTTGTGGTACTATTTTTAGTATGTCCGAATTTGGCTGATATTTTAGGGCTTCGAATGTCCGTTGCTGTTGATATACTTCTTCGTGCAATACTTAAATCAAGGACTGTTGTCTTAAGTTTTGTGCAAGTTCAGGTCTGTTAGTATGTCGTCTATGTTGTTGATGTGTAATATGGTAAGTATGCCATGAACTTACATGTATCGTTTGTTATTTCAGCGAGGAAAACTGTATAGCTGAAAGACAAGAGAAAAAGGTGCTTTTTGACTTTACGACGATCCCTTCCCTGTCTGGGTGGAGCGAACTTTCAGATACGGTGAGGGAAGTAGGCAAGTCCAAAGCGGCATTCCAGATCCAAAAGACCCTTCAGTTCCAAAGGGCGATATTTTTCACACTGTTGAACCCGCAGCCGAACGGCGCGGGCTTTGCCGGCTTCAGGACCGACGTCCAGTTGGACTTGTCGAACTTCACAGCATTGGCCGTCAAGCACAGGGCCCAGGGGCAGAACTTCTTCTACAAAGTGTGCCTAAGGCACCGCGGTCTCAACAGGGAGCCACACGTCTCCTATGAGCAGATATTTGAGGTATGAAAAATTTTGTTAAATCTAAAACATAAGGAAATTTCTAAAATAAGACGAATTTCTGTCTAGGCCAACAAGGAATTTGGCTACACCTTTCTACCATTCTCGAATTTCTTGCCTTTCTACAGAGGGAAGAAACAGGATCCGACCAAAGTCGGCTTCCTCGACACGGCCAATATCACCAATTTTGAGTTTCAAATTTTTGGTGGGGTTTACCTACCTCTTAAACAGTCAGGAGCATCCTCACTAGAAATAGATACAGTCGAGGCTGTTTGATTTTATTTCAATACAAACCGATGTAGTCTCAATTTTACAAATATTAAAACTTTTTTAAAAATACTATTAACAATTCAATAGTAGATTCTATTTTTATAACTTTTTTAAAGGCTAAAAATATCAAAGGTTATCATCGCCTTTGCACTACCAGTGGTTTATTGGAAATTATGGAAATTTATGAAAAAAGAGATTTTTCATTTTTAGACTTTCGAAGACTTGATCATTTTTTCCTGTACATTCCCTTAACATTTCTTTTGTAGTCCAAGGGATTTTGGGGTAATGAACCCACCTCAGAAAAGGGAGGGCGCGCAATTATGTGAAATACGACATGGGTCCCTGGACACTCGGGGCGTAAGGCAACGAAAATGTTGACATGTTGGCCAAAAACCCTCTGTGGCTTAGCATGCTGCCGCAAAAGAGGATACATCTTAAAATGACTCCTTAATGAGTCCAAAACCTGGTGGAACAATACCACAGGTATGACGCACGCGAAGAGATTCATAGAAGGACCATCCGCAAAACTTACAAAAGAATTACTGGAAGGCAACCGCAACCGAACCAGGATTCTGGTTGGAGTCCTGCCAGAGCACTGCCACTTAAGAAAGCACATGCATCTGATGGGAGTACAGACAGAAGAACACTGTGCAGATACTGCCAGGAAGAGGAGGAGACTGCAAAACACATCTATGTTTCTGTGAAGGTCTATGTAGGTGCAGGTTCTTGCTACTAGGACAAGAAAAACCACAAGCAAGATTCTACATTAAGGAGCCGCTGGGCAAGCTTTGGAGGCTGATTAATAATCTGAAGCTGGCCAGTGAGCTATAAATGACAAGGGAGCACAATTCAGGTCGAGGTGCAGAAGGCCTTGTAGCCGCCTCTCTTATCACTCTCCCTATCACTATGTGTAATACGTCTAATTGATCACCACAAAGGCATGTTGGTGGTATAGATTTTTCCATGAGGTGCCTGAGGGTCATATTTGAGTGCCCTATACGTAATCGACATAGTACCTCATCATGCCTGAAAGTTTGGAAGGATGTTTCCCAAGGTTTAACTGTCTCTTTTATGTTTCGTAATTTGCTAGAAGTGGTTTGTTTCCACTGATTTTCCCAATTTTCAATTAATTTAAGTTTGAAAGCAGACTTTCTATCTTCAGGATTTATTAAAACTGAGATGATGGGATTATTCTGTGCAGCTTTTGCTGCGTTGTCAGCTAGCTAATTTCCCTTAATCCCGACATGACTTGAAACAGAACTCCAAATGAAGGAAACATAAGAGCCGTTCAGAGATATTTGTTTTAAGTTATGCCAAATGTTCTGAACTAATGGATTTTGGGAGTACGGTTTCTGAATTGTTTGAAGTGCACTATAAGAATCAGAACATTTAATTATTAAAAAAAATCTAGCCTTTAGTGCCTAAATTCACGATCAAATTGAGCGCCATTAAAAAAATCAGCTGCTAATTGGAACGTCGCGTTGGCGGAGGTATCAGCGGGTTCACTTTGGCAATTCATGTCGAGAGACGTGGTTGTAGAAGTCCTTTTACCTGATGATGAGCTAAAAGGCTCGAAATCCGGACGTTGCAAAACAACTTACTGTGAGTAGGAACTATCGGGAAATAAATTGTCAGGATGATGACGAAAACGACTTAAATAACCCATTAAAATTAAAGAACTTGAATACACTATCTACTGCTAAAGGCTCCTCTCCAGGGCTTGATTAGATTCATATATGATAAAAAAAATTACCAAAAGTTGTCAAAATTCATTTACTTCATTTATATAATAGAATATTTCTAGAACAAGAATTCCACAATCCTGGAGAAGCTGAAATCATTCCCATGTTAAAACCTGGAAAAAATGAAATGTCAACTCATAGTTATCACCAATGTCACTAACAGCGGTCTCTCTATGGTTCTGGAAAGAATTATAAACCGGAGGTTGGTATGGTTTTAGATTATATTTTTATAACTGAAAGCTTCTAAACTAAATGTGTGTTTAAAGTTTATCTCAAGCAAAAACAAGGGACAGGAGTGGACCAAGACCGCTTCTAGTAACGTGTCACTGTATGCTCCACTTACTTCTTTGGATTCTTTCTTTTTACGTACAAGCAAACAGCACGTAATGCAAGTGATCGTCATTTTTGGGAGGAAGTGGATTTGCCGGATGAATGGTTTTGCACGTTTAAATATAAAAATGATCGGATTTGAAACTCTAGCGGGTTTGATGAATGATGGTTTAGTTTGATTAAAAAATACTAAATACTAAAAAAATATTTTTTAAGGGATCCTCGAGCAAAGAAACCAGCCTTACATCTGTGTACCTTTTAATGCTGGTTTGATTGTTTAATAAATACAGATGGTATTTCTTGTGTTCTTTCAATTGGAGATTTCCTACGTTTTAGCAAAAGTTCGATTAGAAAGAAATAAAATAAATACAATCATCGGCTTGAACGTTTCTTAGTTAAGCATGAAATCTGTAATATTTCTATGGTTGATAACATTTAGAGCTTATCTGTGTAGTGTGGATTATGCATACTTGGCCCACGTCACCTTTAAGAAGAACGGTTCCTTGCACTGCGGAGGCAGTATCGTCAATGAGAAATATATCTTGACATCGTGCTACTGTGTCGGATATTTTGACAATCGAAAGTTCATCACGTACAACCAGTACATCTTTGTGGTGTCGGTAAACATGGAAGAACACGAATCCCAGAAGAGCATCGTTGAAGACATGTTTCCATTCGAGAAGTGCACCATGCTTCAATACGGGGTGTACGTGAACGACCTAGGAGCTTATAAACTGATGAAGCCTCTCATGCTCAAAAGTAAAAAATGGGCTATGACACCTCCTCCCATGCGTTACCGCAAAAGGGAAAAGTCATTTATCGGTTTGATCGACGAAAGTGTTTCTTGCCGTATCTTCACAACGAACGGGAACGAAGTGTATCCGATCAAGACCTCGCTCTTGCCGAGGTACTCTTGCGCCGCCGGGATCTGCAATGATGCGAACAACAACGACCTCTTGTGCAGGTACCTGACCGAACCGACGAAAAGCCACTTGAGGTGTTCCAAGACGAAGAACGACTGCTTGGCGTTTTCAGGTAGTCCACTCGTCTGCAACGGTATCGTCTGGGGTATCAGCTCATTTTGTTTAGGGAAATATCATTTTTTCGCTCCCTTCGACACATGCTACACGTTTTATATGGACTTATTGTCAAATAGTTCACGTAAGCTTTTCACTGGCAGGTATTCATTGTTCTTTTTGATTTTTGTAATTAATAAAAGCATATGAAAAACATACCGATTTGTTGATGATATAATCTAACTAAATCGTTATTATTATTAATGTACCTACTTGATGCAACACAAACCTCAGTGTAATGTAGATTATACCACCCTGGTTGCTTCCAAACCCTGATTTGAGTTTAGACTTTACCAAATAACGCAAACCGGACAGTCATATATTTACGAATAAGTCCAAAAATGATGTAGGTGAAGCACTCCCGTGCAATAACCGAAATTACAAGTTTACCCTAGCATTATTATGTAGCAGCTTTACTACCGACGTAGTAGCAATAACACACTGCATAAATATTTTAGTCCCGCTTTACAAAACACAGAATCCTCCATCACAGAACGGATCCAAAACGGCAAAAGGAGAAGTGGATAAAATATCGAGGGGCCATCTCACAGTGAGCTTATGGTAAGAGAACCCTTACCAAAACTGACAAACTCGCTGATTGCTTAGTCACTGAGAGTTAGTTAGGGAGGGCAAAGCTCAGATAGGACTATATACCGGTCACTGGCATCCGGGAAAACATCTACATAATATTGATTATGAATGATGATCCCATTTGTAAGTTTTGCAATGAGGAGAAAGAAACTGCCTCCCATATCACCTTCGAATGCGAAGCAACGGCTCAATGGAGACAACCTGGATACAGAAAATAATTTTCAGCAACAACACTCAATGACTAATACTTATTACGGGACTAGAAAAAGTACAATAAGCCAGAAGGATGCAGTGCTTGAGGAACACAATAACCCTACTTCGTAGTATCTATCCATCATCATGACCCCACTTTACAATATGCTCACCATTCGTACTGATTCGTTGTCAGTATAAGTGGCATTTAAACACTTTTTCTCCCACCTTCCAATGAACGACATCTATTCCAAAATCGTGGATTTAAAGACATTTTTATGGGGGTTCCTGGACACTACGGAATATCAGGAAATGAAATGGCTGATCTTCTAGCAATACAGTCAATATCTAATAGTAGAGGAGTAAAAACACTAAATTCAGACGTGATGGCCTGCTTTAAACTAAAATCCTGGCAACTGTGGCAGGATGAACGACAGGACCTCGAGTATCAAACTCAGGGAAGTTAAAGAAAGTGTGCAACCTTCTCAACCATCAGGGGATCGAAACATGACGAGGCTATCATTGCTAGGCTCACACATTCGTTCTTCATGCCAGGGGGACCTTCCTAGTTGTGGTACTTGTTGTGGTAGAGGTGAGCGTAAAACACCAATTGACGAATTGCAGACAATATGAGAATGCCAGAAGATACTATAATATTTCGAACCAGATCGGAGTTGGTGACGAACCATCCTGGGATAGATAAGTTTTGGAGTTTCTAAGAGCTACAAATTTGATATCTAGAACATAAAATAGAATAGGAAAGGTAGGGACTGGAATCAGTAGTCCGGAGGTTGTGAGGTGTTGGTAGGAAGCGGTCTTGGTGCCCGTCGGCTGGTGGTAGGTACTCCGCCCATCGGTTTGTGTTGTGTGCTCTTGGATCCTTGGGCTATTGTGAAAACCTTCGTTTTTCTGCTTCCCAAGGTATAGGCTGCTTCTGAGCTTCAGTTTATTATTATTTTTAGGCGGATAATAACCCGGCGTTTGTGCCTTTTTATTAAAAAAAAAAAATTATTAACAGCTGTGATAAAAAAGAAATGTGATTTTTCAAAGCATCAATTTTATTGTGTTTGTATTTTTCTTATAAATCATCAATATAGACTGTTACCGGTGAAGTTTTTCTATTAAAGTAATCCATTAACCATCCGAATATCCCTCCAATGGTCATTCCGACGTACACATCGCTCTTGTGGTTTCTGTAGAAGCGCACTTCAGAGAAACTCGCCCAAACGGCTAATTCCATGAGCAGAAGTTGTACAAGCCGTTTAAATAAGATGGTCTCCCTGTAAGTTATTTTTTGTTCCATATACAGACACAGAAAACACATGGATTGTATGGACATGACGGAATGTTCCGAAGGGAAGGACAACCTCGCCAGTTTTACGTCTTCTTTTCTTCCCAGGCATACAGGTTGGAAAGAGAAAAAAGATGAATTTGCCGAGGTGCAATGTTTCCCCATATCAGGTTTGCAGACTTCCAAAAAATCCGGCCTCATCCTCCCGCTGCATATCTGCACGATGCAGATCAGCGCTTGAGCCGCGAACATACCAAAAAGAAAAATAATTTCCGTGTTGTACATCTTGGTCAGGCACGTTTGGGGGCCGTAGAAAGAACCGCTTGAGCCATAATGGATCAGATCTATAATCGAAATTATAACTGCGGGCAGCATTATAAAGAGGAAGCACATCTGGAGGTAGTCGTATCTTCCTTTTTTCCCTACGATAGGATACTTAATCGAAAAATCGTCACAAACGATTTCACGTTCTACCGGGTCGAACATACCGTAAATAAAGGTGCTCAAGAGAAAAGCTAGAACCACCGAGACAGCTTCGAGAAAAATTTGAAGTATAACTTTCAGAAGAACAAGTCGTTTTATATCATAGTTAACCAGCCCGCATTTTTTTAATAAACCGATGATACAATTTTTGAAACAATCACAAAGCCTAGAAGCGGATGGAAACTGTTCTGTATCGTCGTCCATAACTGTTTTCAGTTCGAGTTCGTATTTTGTCTCATTACAAACACGATAAATTCAAATGTGATTTTCTATTGTCGCTGACATCTGTTATTCGAGGGCAAACAAAAGAAACATTTGTTTCAGATATTAATCTTTAAAAACAGATAGTTCCTCTAACGGGTCGTGGAATAACAACAACTTTATAGGCCATCGTCTCTCCAAATTATGACGTGTTTTATCCATGACAAAAGCAAAGATCGTCCCGATTATGTTCCCGGCCAAAATGTCACTCCAGTGGTTCCTGTTCGTATGCAGTGGCATGAAAATGATGACTATAGCTGCTATGGCGAATAGGCATTGTAAGACCCGTTTCAGAATGCCCGCTTCTTTATTTTTCATCTTTGTCTCAACATAATAACATAAATAGACCGCTACGTATGTTGATATTGTGGAATGCACCGAGGGAAAAGACGTCATGGCGTTTTTCATTTTTATGAGATCTTTACCTGAGCAATCGCTCTGTTCGAAGTAGGCCCTTTTTTTGGACGAGTCGCCATCGCACCCGTTTTTCGGCTGGCAGACCTCGAAGAAGTGAGGCCTCAAACTTCCGACGCACGGTTTCAGAAGAAGGCAGATCGACAACACGCTGACACCACCGAACAGGAACACAATAATGTTGTTGTATATGTTAAAAAAAAGTCTACGCTTCGCGTCTTTGAAAGTCACTTGTCTTGTAAGGAGTATCAGGGACTCGATAACGGGGAAAATCAGCAGTGGAGCAAAAATGAAACCTTTTACCAGCACGTATTCACTTACAATTGCTTCTTTGTATGAATACGTCAAAGTAGAATCCGCACAGAAAACGACCGTTTCGAATATTGGGAATACTTTGAAAAACATCCAACATGTGCCCATTACTGCGCTCAAGGAGAAAATGTCGAGGAGCACTTTAACAATTAAACTAATGTGTTTTTTCACACTTTTTGCTAGAAACATCACTATTATACTTAAAATGTTAAGAAGATACATCTATGTATGTGATAAAAACAAAAAACACACATAAGCATATGGTAATTATACATGTTTGAACACTGTTTTTAAAAATAATTAATTACACATTATATATCACCAAAACCTTATTTTCTCTTTTTAACCCAATTTTAAATTTTTTTGTAGAAATGAGTAAAATTTGTAGATAGATAGATACACTTTATTTACAAAATGAAAAAATTTAGAGTTAAAAATAAAAAACAGTATTATTATGGCATGGTATTAAAACCGTCAGCCAGAGTTCGGAGTGATTACTATCCCAAGAATATGCATAATTATATAATTATAAGAAAAGGAGAATTTAAAATATCACCTTCAGAGGTTACAATTATTTACTGGTATTCCACTACTTTCGTGGTCCGCTTGACCAATTAATACATGACAATTAATTAAGGTTTTTAGTTGAGATGAAAAAAAGTTAATGGCACGAGAGGGATTCGAACCCACGACCTTTGACTAGATACGCCGCTGCTCTACCACCTGAGCTATCGTGACCTCGATCCACTCGGACTTCAACTCCCCATCTCAAACTCATAAGGTGNAACCATTTTCATTTATATTTTCCATTAATTATTCAACTTTTAAATTTACTATTCGACTTTTCCATTCATCATCAATAATTTTCATTTTTACTTTTCCATTAATTATTCAGCTTTTACCAGTTTAATTTAAACTTTTTAATATAATAGTCGACTTTTTTCACTTACTCGTCAATTATTTGACTTCATTCATCGTCAATTATTTTCATTTTGACTTTTCCGTTGAATGTTCAACTTTTACCAGTTTAATTTCAACTTCTCCATTAATTATTCAACTTTTTTTTACTTAGTATTCATTTATCATCAATCATTTTCATTTTAATTTCAACTTCTCCATTAATTATTCAACTTTTTTTTACTTAGTATTCATTTATCATCAATCATTTTCATTTTAATTTCAACTTCTCCATTAATTATTCAACTTTTACCATTGTAATTTAAACTTTTAAATTTAATATTCAACTTTTTCCTCTTATTATTCATTCATCAATCATTTTCATTTCGACTTTTAAATTTACGAAATTTTAAATTTAATTTTTTTATTTTAAATTTAAATTTTCGAAATTTTAAATTTACTATTCGACTTTTTCCATTTTAATTTTGGCTTTTTCATTTATTATTCGACTTTTACGGTTTTAATTTAAACTTTGAAAATTTATATTCGACTTTTTCTGGTTTTTATATCTCTGTTTTCAATTTAATTTCGACTATCTCGCTCTAGAGGCTATATTTTTCATCCCAACCAAGACCTTACATAACATGAATAATTAATTAATTTAATTTAAACCTTTCAATTTTACTTAAAAGTTTGTTGTTCAATTTTTTTTTAAATTTTTTATTTAACATTAAATGTAAAAGTTAAATATTAAAATGTTGCAAGTTTAAATTGAAATGCAAAAATTTGTAAAAGACAAAATTTTATTAATGTACTTTTCGATGTACATTTTCTATTTATATTATTTTATTGTCAATTTTCAATTTACTTTGTAAACTGTTACTTTTCTACATTTGGTACATATGAAAAAAATGGTGTGTTAAATAAATGAATAACGGAGGGTGCTAAATGTTGCTATATGCCATGATTGGACAGATTTGCACGAATCTGAAGGTAAATAAAACTTTTCAAAAGCGTTTTTTTATTGATAAAGATTATTTTCGAATAGATTAAGTCTGGATTAATTTGTAGAATCGTTCAACAAAGCACTTCACCAAAAGCTGTTCGTGACGTAAACAACCTTGAACCTCTCATTAATTCAAGTACAAGCTTTCTTTAAAACAAAAAAAATAATTATTATTATAATTAATTATTTTTTAAATAATTAATTACAGTTGGAAGGTTAACAAAGCAAGGGTTGTCCGAAAGCTGAAGGACCCAAGGTCAATTCAAGTGGACTGTTATTGTTTATTGACCCCCCGTTGCCGGGCTTCTGTCGCGTTTGGTTTATTGACTTGATGTTTCTTAATTATTTTATTCCTTTAGTTGTACTTTTGTTTGCGTGCCTCGACGCAGATTTATTTGTACGTTTGTAAACCGACACACCTAAACCAGAAACATTCCAACTTGCTAGAATGAATTCAGCGAGCAAGGTAAGTTTCGCCCAAAATCACTTTTACCCCTGTAAACGTCGATAATCAAAGTTGTTTGACAGGTCGGAGAAATTTTTACAGCAGCAGGAGCGGCTTTCAACAAGCTGGCAGAGCTGACGCTGCAACTACATCCAAGCGCAGACTCACCGTCAGGGTACGAAATCGTTTTTGGTCTGTTATATTGACACACCTTGTATGTTTGTTTAGAAGTCTGTTTTGTAGATTAGAATACTTCATTTTTTTTCAAATAAGTTACACGTTAGGACAAAATATTACTAAGGGTTCTACTGCATGGATTTTATTCCAACTGCCGGAGTTGTTTTTAGTTTGTTTGCCGAAAAGATATTGCATTCCATCATAAAATGTAATACATTTTCCCGACTGGGCGAATTTCATAAAGAGCACTTTTCATTGCCCTGCTGCTAGACAACCACATTTAGCATAACACTTGATATCTTATCTTGAACAGGCATCAAAGATCAGATAAATTTAGACCGTCTATGTTTGATTTCCTAAAGTCAAACCATGCCTCTGACAAAGCTGTAAAGAATATCTTTAGTTTAGAGAACACAGCGTAGGGACTCATTATAATGTATTTGGTAAATATGGGCAAAGAGTGTTTTGAAATAAGAGTTCCATTCGCTTATTTATATTCTCTAAGTTGAAAATGCATCGAATACCATATTTTTCTAATTCTACCTTCCAATGTGCGAACCAAGAGAGGTTGGAATTAACAATTACTTTAGGTGTAATATTAACAAACTTAGAATCTGGGGACCTTAAGGTTCTGAGTCTTTTTTTTTTTGTATTCACGTAATTAAAATTTAGAAAGCTCTAGTATAAAAAAAAAGGATATTACTGCTAATTATGCAGTAACCTTTCCAGCAAGGTTTTCCAAATGCCCACTTCATTTACACTGTTGGTGCAAAAAAACAAGGGAGTAGGTGCTGCCATTTCAAGCAAATATAGTGAACACAAATTCAGTTTAACTTCACAGCTGAACTTCTAGAAATTGAAAAATCCCTACAGCTCTATAACCCTAAAAGTAATCATATCATAATCTGTTCCGACTCATTATCCTCTTTAACCTCAATTCAAAATCTCTTTTCCCTAAATCCCATCATTGAAAATGTATTACACTCCCCAAGATGCATACATCCAAAAAATATCCAAGTCACCTTCATGTGGATCCCAGGTCATTGCGACAAACAATTGGCCAAAAAAGCTATAAAAGATAGTACAATTTAACGAAACTATGCCACAAGATTATAAAAACCATATAAAAATACAAATTTGGTCTCTGGAAAAATTACTGGACAGGCATAAGCAATAAATTATCGTAGATAAAAAAAAAAGATGTGAAATCCTGGAAAAGCTCTATACGAGCTGAAAAGAAGAAACAGCCCTTACTAGACTTCGTATTAGCCACACAAGACTGACCCGTGGAATTTAATCTGTAATAGGCCCCCCCGAGTGCCAAAAATGCAAAGTAAGATTAACAATCAAACACTATCTGCGAATGTAGCTTATTTTCAGTAAAAGGACCAAACTTGGTATATCTATAGACATTTTAATTGTCCTTGAAGACAATGCTGACTCCACTTCAAAAGTAATACAGTTCTTGAAAAACACATAACATAGCTTCACTGTCTTTTTCATTTAAATTCCTAACAAAAAAAAAAAAACATTTTAAATTCACCAATTAAATTCCATTAACTTGAGGGGATGGGAGTCGTCCGCTGGTCGAGGGCTTGTTGCCAGGGGTTCGGCGGCGCTCACCTGGCAGGGAGATGGGAGATCCAAGGCAAAATGCCTCGGTTCCCCAAGGGATGTGGACTTTTCTGTAGGCAACACTGTAAATGGTTTTCATCCACATCCCAGACAAAGGGCTCTGTAACGTCTTAAAATATATTAAAAGTACACAAAACAATTAGGAAAGCCCTGGGTCCCCTCTGTTGGCGTCGGTCGGGCCGCCAGCCTCATGCCTGTGCTTGTAAACCTCCCACTTTTCACTCAAAGTTGTAACAGGCTTAATTAACCATTAGGGTTGATAGCCATTAAAAAAAAAAAAAAAAAAAAAAAAAAATACATTTTATTCTAACTTTGCCCTCGTCTTTTCTCATTTAGATGACAAGCCGTTTAATAAAATACAAAGGACAAACATTCAAAAACTAGGCTTAGGGTGACAGTTGTTCATGGGGACTTCTGGCTTGTAAATTGTGCGATTAGCTTTTTTTAACTAAAAATTTGTGATGACTAACATCTTTACAATTTCAAAATTTACATTACTCTAAACGGCGTATAATTATTTTGTCTGTTTTTAAATTAGGGGTAAATGGACTGAGGAAGATATTGATATGCTGCAATCGGCAATAATCAAATTTAACGAAGACCTAAATCTTGTGAGCGAAACCATCAAAAGGAGGACAGTGTAAGTTGATACTTTTTTTTCACCCGTTGTCTTAATATTTAGAAGGTGTGTCAATATGTCAACGAGAAGGAAAATCAGTTGTTTTTTTTTTAAATTGCCGATGTCGCCCGTTTCAGGTCCCAGATAAGGTCGACGTTGAAAAAGAAGGCTTTCGAAGATGCTGGTATACCCGTGAGCAGGCAGTTGGTCACCTCGCAGCCGCAGCAGGGGATGCTAGGCAAGTCGGCTGAAGTTACGCTCAACATGCTCAACGCCCAAGAGACAGAAGTGGACGTCGAGGGAATGCACGAACACGTAAAATTAGAGTTTTCGTCTCACGAAGAGGTCAACACATGAAAAATTTTCTTGTAATTTTGTCAAAGAGTGAAAAATGTAAATACGAACGTTTTTTTGTGCGTGAACTTTTGTGTAAACTTTAATTGTATTTTAACTTAATTTTTGTAATAATAAACATATCTAAACTTATAAAAACTATTTTTTTTTTACCATTATTGTTTCTATTCTTTCAGTGTATATTATAAAATAAATAGCTGAAATTTAATGAGCAACTTTCTTATAGAATTTTATAGAATATTTATTTAAAGGTGTTCTTTGGGTTTATAAAACAATATATTAAGCCCATATAAATTATATAAGTTAGCATATCCTAACTTTGATTGGGGTTTAAATATAATAAAGTATAACAATTGTTTAAACTGTTTTTTTTGTCCTAGAATTATGATGTAGTTTGATTGTTTATGATCGTCCTGTATATCTATCTTTACTGTCTTTAATGATGTCAGGCTTCAAGTATGCCCATTTTGTATGTCGTGGAGCAATTTCCTCTACATGTACTGATATAACTTATAAAAAAAAAAAGATTTAAGAATGACGCCTTTAATATAAGAAAATGTACTAACATTGTTTTGATAAGATGTCTGAAAGAACTTTGACATGTTTGGCATAGTCAGCAGGGTGAAGAATATAACATTTCTGCCTACATGTTAAAAAATCACTCCTATCTCTTATCCAGGTAATTTTGAGTATCCTTTCCCTAATGAGACATTTCCGGTGTTCCTCAAGGCTCTATACTTGGACCCATCCTGTTCCTTGTGTATTCTAAATAATTCACACAATAAACAGCTCTCTGCTATTCCTCTTGGAGGAGATACAATATTAAACAAATTAGACAACACACTTTGCTGCAAAGGCAGTTTCTGCAATTTGGAAAATTAAAATTAATCATAATAAAACATAAGCAATAGTGTTCAAGCATGGAACATTCCAATAAAATCTAAATTGAAGGTGAAACTGTGCCATGGTCTGAATTGGTCAAATATATATATATTTTTTTTTGGCCTTATGATCTTTGCATATTAGCCATGACGAATACTTATATATGTTGTTCAAATTGGGGGTTATCGGGAAAAAAGGACCAGAGGCGACGGTGGGAATTGAACCCACGACCGCGGCGTGAGTCTCTCATGCTAACCACTCGGCTACCGCGGTCCCCCTTGGTCAAATATCTTGGGATAATACATCAAAAACTGTATATTATATAAAAAGTAAATATAAAACTGTATATAAAAATAATATTTTATTTCTCATGTTAAGGATATAGGTGATTAAGGGAAAAGATGCTATTCGCATACTTTTTGACACTGCACTGTTTGCCAGTCCACCGGCCAATAAATTTTTTGCTGTAGGTGGTAGTCAGACCGATGCTCATGTACGACAGACTTGCCTCAAACATTAGAACCGCACAATGTGACAAACATGTTGGAATAAATCATAACCTAACGCAACATAAGGTTAGTACCAGTGATAATATGCTGCCAAATGAGTAACTATAGTTTGGACGAAAGTTATGTGCACAGGAGTATGAACGCCCTCAAATATAATTGTATCTAACCAGCTGGAGGAAAGAGTTGGTAGACTGAAATTCCAATGAACTTTTGCATTTAATGTATATGTATAAATAAAATTTCAGTTTTTATGAAAAGGACGGCTTATCGTATAACCTCTGAGATATACAGGTTGGCTGTTTTATGGTGATTTTGGTCTACCTAACTCCACTTAGCCTGTTAGGTGCATTTTCTCAGTTGGTCAGGTAAATAATCAGCGTGAGGCACCAAGGTTCCTAGCATTTAATTAATATAGTTATACCCAATTGAACAAGCATCACCAAACCACAGGTTCATCGAGAAATTCACAATTCTGAAATGTGTCTGACATACCAAACCATCAAGGATGAGTGTACCAGGAGCCAACTGTAGGTCCATCAACCGTTTTCATCACAATACGCATTTCACTTTTGAGTTACACACTAAATCATTATTTGTGAAAAATAATAAAGTTTTATATCTTATAAACTATCACCAAAACTGTTAACACATTGCTATAATCAGACAGGGTAAAACTCAGGGGTTATAGGCCTATATATCAGTCCACTGCCATCTGATTAAACACCTACCCAATATGAGTATGTTCAATGATGACCTCATTCGTAGGTTATGCAATGAGAAGGAAACTGCCACAGGCATTAACTTCAAATGCAAAGCAACCTCTCAATGCAGAGGTAACCTGATTAGGGACGGTTGGATCCCTAACCATACGTAACCTGGGATACAAAGACAATCCAAGAAAAGAATTGGCAGCAACAACGCACTATGACCTAAAACTTAAAAGAAGGATTGAGTCAATTGCACTGAATTCAGTAATTAGGAAAATAAGACTAGTCTGCATTGCTTGAAGAACACAAAATCCCTATTTCCTATCCAACATCAAACAAAGGACAAAATCTTGGGCAATATGCCACTGTTTCCAAGCGTAGACTGTGGCTATTGAACACTGTGCCAAGGATTTTCTTTTTTTTTCCTTAGGCAATGCCTATTAGTCAGAGATTCAAAAGTTGATAGCGGTTGTCAGCGATTATTTATTTATCGCAGGCTAGTAGTGGGACAGAAGGATGATGGATCATGTCGAAACGTTAATGTACATAAATATTCGTAAATTTTGCCATATACAGCACAGCCTCCTGACATCAGCAGTGTTTTGAGGTTATCCCAAGGAAATTAAAAGGTTAGGTATAGTTAACAGAAGAATAGCCATCTACTCGGCCAGCCTGGTGGTACTGAGGGCACTTACCACATTGGTAGTAAAGTTTGTCATTTGGGATTACATTAGGGGGGCAGGTAGAGGAGAAAACAAAAACTACCAGGGCACAGGGGCAATGAAGAGTCTGATATTGGTCAAGGAAAGTTAGTTGACACCTATTGATCCTGAATCCTTTCGTGGTATACCAACCCGCCAAAAACATTAATCCAATACATAATAGATTAAAAAGAAGTCCTCCAATTAATAGAAATATAGCTCAAGACAGAGAAATGCAAAAATGTTCATCAGAGGACTATTGCATAAACTAGTGGCAGAACTACTAAATCTAAGATTTGTTAGAAATACTAACTGAATACTACAAAAATTTATGTAAAGACTTGTAGTGGTGCAAACAAGCCTGTGTAGATATAGCCAGGATGAATAAGAAACAGTGGAATATGTCTTCTGTTGGTGCAGTCTTACGCAGACATTCCTTCTCCTGGGGAAGGTATAGCACGGGCCTGAAGGATAAATATATGAGCCCTTAAGCAAAATTTGGGATCTGGTAAATAGCCCTAAAGTTTAATAAAGAGCTCTGCACCACAACGGAAATGCACAATAGACTAATACCGGTTGCAGTGTCGTAAAGAGGCCAACTCCTTGTTTAACCTACTTCTCAAAAGAAGGACTGAGTGTGAAAAGGGGGCTTCGGTGGTCTCCGTCCATTCGAACCAGACATAGGCTTTTTTACAAACCATTGGCACCCTGAGGGTTCATGTTCATATAACCTCATAGTTAAAATACCTTCGTTTAAAAAGAAAAAAATTAATAGTAATAATAATAATAATTTAAACTGAAACTTATACAAAATAAAAGAAGGGACAAATAGGGATTTCGCTTGGAAAAAGGGATTTTTCAATATTTTAAACTTTCTTGCCTTCTGAAAAGGCTTCCGTTTTCTTCTTTTGTGTGTTTCGCTTTTCTTTATATACATTATTTTTTAAATAATAATAATATAATTAAAAATATCATTCGCACAAAATTTCTTAAATAAAGGAAAAAGTATCTCTTGAGGAACAAATGTCGATCCTTGGTTTTTAAATTATTTACATAGACAAATTGGCTTAAAAATCCATGTTGGATGTCCGTATTTACGCTTTTTCTTTTGTATCAGCGTTGAGTGATACATTAAACATAAACATCACAATGTTTTCTGTTTGTCTTACATAACTTTCTTTTGAGCCTGACTCAGCGTCAGGAATGCTAAGTGACCCTTTGGACATTTGTTCGCATAATGACCTTTGCAACCACACTGAAAAAGAATAATTAATCAATAAATTGTATATTAAAAAATATATTTATATACGAAAATACTTACTTTATAACACGTGACTTCCTCCAGAGGTTTAAGTCCACCTTTGACAAGAGGGCTAGATCTGTTATCTTTATCATCTCCTATATTATTTGCACCCATCTGAATAATAAACACACAAGATCATTTTTTTTTAATCATTGAAATTTAATAGAATTACCTCGCTGTCTCTTATTTCTTGAGGGATCTTGTGACAGAATAAAGCCTTGTGACCCGTGTCGCCACAAAAGTGGCACACTATCACCAGCTTTTTGGGATCTCTGGCCGTCGCGTCTGCAGCCGGCAGTTCAAACCTAGGACTAAAAACAAACTAATTAAATCAACTTATTAAAAGATTACTGATGAAAACTTACTGCATGAATTTGCACTCTGGGCCTTGGACGCAAAGTCCGGCGAGGTAGTTCATGCAGAGCACACGTCTGACGTGTCGATGTCTGCAGTTGGGACCATGCCTGCAAAAGCCTCGGTCATACCAGGGGCAGTCTTTCATTTTACTTTCGGGATCGATGTGAAGGAATGGACATTCTTTGTTATGACAAGCATCTTAAATCCGGGAAGAAATATTTAATATTTTGGATATTTACAAAATGAACTTAACCAACACAAATTGAGTTTACAAGATGAAAGTATGTTCAACGATAAATTTTCTCTTCTGATATTTTTTAAACTTGTAATACAGTTTTTCCCAAACTGTGCTACAAGGAGACCGCAAAAATTTTGTATAAAAAATATTAATTTTATTTTTATATTTATTAAAAACCTAAAAACAATACCCCCATTACAAACCCCTAAAAGACCTCGTGGACCATCCAATCTCAATATGGATGTTAACAAGACTGCATTTATATATTTTAGATTATTCCCCCCTCAAAAAAAAAAAAAAAAAAAAAAAAAAAAAAATAGGAGTTTTGATTTTTTATTAAATAAAATTGCAGACAAATTAAGAGGTTACATATATCAATGCTTTTCTGAATTGGAAATGAATTAATTACTAAGTTAGATGGACCATTGTTTTAAACTTGGGGCGCCGTGGAAAAGAAAAAGTTTGGAACTGCTGTTATAATACATTAATTGTTTCCTTTCAAATTGATATTTGTGTGTACTACGTAATACTTACAAATCTACTGATACTTACTAAACCTGGAATAGAAATAGCACTCAGGCATTTTTGTCATGTCGTATTCATGAAGAAATTCACAGTGGTCTCCTTTTTTGCAAAGACCCCTGAGCCAATGCTTGCACACGATAGTACGATCGCCCCTGACATGCCGTAAGGGGCAGGCTGAACCCTTGGCGCAGCTTCCTTTAGCATAAAATTCGCATACAGCGACAATTGACTCTTAAATAAAAACAAAACAACACAGTGAAATTAAAGATGAAATCATGGATATTCGGATTATATCAAATATTTAGTTCAAATTTTATTTTTAAAAAGATGTACAGAGGTAGTGTTATTCATTGGCGGTGGCCGAGTTGTTAGGACATATGAATAGTGTTCTGTATGGTCTTGGCTCATTCCCAGCATAGACCTTGGACTGTTTTATTATATTTGAAAAAATAGTACTGTGAAGTTGTAAGACCACTGCCACTCAAGTACCAAGGGTTAATTGTTTAAACTGAAAAAAAAGGAAAGTAATTTGATCTTTACCAATTATCTTGGCCTGCCTATAGCTGGGATAGATTATCAAAACGAATTTTGGAATTTTGCAATCATCAACATGAATTCAAACTCAGATGAACAACACTGAACATAACGAAATGTCGAACTATACTTGGCAGACCAACTCAGTAGGGGAGAGGAGAAAAAAAAGTAATTTCTCATCTCATTTAATGGACAGAAAGGACCACGATCAGAGAGTATGATGTCAGGGTTTTAAGCTTGGTGTGTCAAGACTTTCATAACTTACATTTTTTGTTGAACCATTAGGTACTAGGTTGATAGTAAACCAAATTGACCATCTGGGGTATCTTACCAAAACCAGAATAGGTGGCCTAAGAAATGTGTGCGTGTAGTGCCAGCCATCCACACCTTTACTGGATCTTAGGGTCATTTAAAATCCCCAAGAGCCAATATGGTCTAAAGCTTTTCCCCTAAACCAATGATAGAGACCAACCAAGCACCATGGATCGATCGCTTGTACAAATTCCTTACTATGATATATATATATATACTTTCCTGGGAGGTAATATGTGTATTCCTTCATGTAAAAATTATTTATAATAAAAAATGAGATCAAAGAAATTCACAACTAACTTGAGGATATTCCATAATTTCCACCATCCCTAACCATCACTGTATACCACTTGGCTGAACATTCCAGACATCAAGCTTTCTAAAGTTCTATACTAGCATCATATAATTTGAAACTAATTGAAACAGATAATTTGCTACATGTAGCATATGAATCCTGGCTCACATTCTTGACTGATACTTCGTTAACCAAACTATGGTACTAGGTCGATACCATTGTGAGCTATTGCAGAAAATTCTCAAAGTGAACACTTTTTTTAAAACTGCACTCAACAGACTATCTCCTAAACTGGCCCTCCAAGGCAACTGATTAAAACCATTAGGTCTCATGGGAAAGGTGTACAATAGGTGCCAGCCTTTATAGCCGGGATAGTGGGGTCATCCCAAAGGGGCTGACCAACCCCCCTCACAAAATCCAAGGCCCACCATTTTTTACTACCTCTTACTAAGAAAACAGGGGTACATCTTGGTGCAAGAATTGGTTTATAATTAAAAGGGAGTCCCAAGAGGGCCACACAACATTTTGGACATTCCATAATATTTTTATACTGTCCATAGTTTCTATATGTAATGCTTACAAGCTGTGGAAGACAAAAGGTTAATTCTGTAATTATATATGTATAATTAAGAACTACGGATTGCTTGATCATAGTTGATTTATAGTTGAACATAAGAACTTGGTTGGGGTTGTTAACTTGGTATAAAAAGGCATAGCTCATGAAAGACAGACCATTGAACATGGCGAAATGGTCACTGAACTATACAGCTCAACACAAAGTTGGATGTCACTTCAGAGGTGGTCTGTCAGACAAATTCTGACATTTCAAAATCGCCAGTAGAAAATTTATCATTAGAAAAAAGACCCTGCATAGAAATAGCACTGACCTTTATATGGAGAAACATGTTACTTCATCACCTCCAATCATTTTACCAATTTTAAAGGAAGGTTTGTCTAACGTGTTTAGGCTTACTAGTATTTAAGTATGTTTAATTTGTCAACTCTGATCAATCTAAATTCTAACTTAATCGGGCTTGTTGGCAATTTTTGTTCATTCACAAAGAATGTGGCAGATCAACTGTAAAAGATGGTGAAACAAGTCATTTCTTTGGGTGTTTCTCTGATTTGTAACCCATTTTTAACACCTTCCTTTGAAGGCTTTCAGCTAATTCATTTCCTATAATGCCTGAGTACCTAGAAACCCACACAAAAAAAACTTTTATGTTCTGTTGAAGGAGAAGTTTCAATGCCAAATAGACACTTCACTATCACCAAGAGATGATTTATCAGACAAACAGACAGAACTTTCACTAAAGGCAAAGAAACAGATTTTTATCATCTTTGATCATTTCATGAACTTCAACGGTTGACCTGTCAAGCTGGTTTAGGGTTGTTAACTTTGCATAAAAAGGCATAGCTTGTGAAAGAACATTGGTAAAACATGTTATCGAATGACAGCTCAACACCATATCCGACAAATTCCAGATTTTTTTAGATAGAAAAATTCCTATCACCAGTTCGTCATTTGAGTTACGAGTGGCTACCCCTGATACATTATCTTTTCTAAATTATTCTTGCTGATTATTGTAATAATTTGAAAGCTTCTTAGGGTGCCATTTTCATGTTTCCAATGACAATCGCATTAATGAGGCTTAATTATTAGAGAGTATTTGGGTTTAAAGCGAAACAACACTCGTCTTTTATGTATAAAGTGAAAATTAAGATATTTAATAACATAACTTTTGTAAACTTACTGTCCATCCCTGGGAAGGGAAGCGGTAAAGCGCCATGCTGCTCTTCCAGAGCGATTTCTATGTCGAATTTTATGTTTTCGACGTTGGCGACAATAAACTCCATATCCGGTTTTGTATAAAAAGTACGTCGAAAACACTCGAACACCCGATGATTTTCACTTCGTCAACATTTCGCCGAGGGAGGAAAAAAAACAAACAGCACTGCGATGGATTCAGAAACCTAAGTAGTGCCTCCGATAAACAAATGTAGTCGGATGACTGTGAAGGGCATGGCGTATTCCGACCCTGTTGATTTTCCTTGAAGAAGGCCGGAGTAAAATTTTCCTCTTTGTTAAAATAAAACAAAAACAAAAAATAAGCAATATAAACTTTATGAATCACTATTGATTCAAACGAGTTTCAACTTAATAAAGTGACATTTGATTGTATTTCGGTATCGATTCCATCCATCGTTCTTCTGCTACCTATTTGTAGGTTGCAGTTGCTCGTTTTGAAGTTTACGACGCCGGTTTTGCTTTTTGAAGTCAACTGAAACCAGATGGAAACACCTCTGAAGATAGACCTCAAAGAGGTCAAATTCAACGTTCAACGTGCTCTGTACGACTGCACTGTCAGGGGGTTGCACCACAGCGCCAAATGGTAGTGTTCAATAATTTTTTAAAAATTTATTTTAATTTTTTGCCATCTGTACAAACCAAATATACATTGAGCAAATATTATACATAGTTATATACAAATCTGACAGATACGTCACAGATTAAATTGTTGTGGTTCTGATCCTTACTTTTATTTCTTTGAAATTTTCTCACGGGGTGACAAATTTGATAAATTTGCTACAGAAAGTTTCAACTTTTCCTTCAACCCTAGATAGATGTATTGGTCGGGGTCAGTATTATACTGCGCCCTTTAAGAGCTATTGTATGAGCCGTTCTGTGCTTAAAACACACAGGTACTTCATCAAGGAACTTGATTAATAGGCCCGGTTTCAGTTGAATTTCTTCTACAATAATGTACATCCCAAACTACCTTCCTCGTGCAGGCAAATGTGGCTCCACAATATGTTAGTAGGTGTGTTGGTGTCTTTTTTACTTCTTTTCAGACTCTGCACATGTTGGGTTGTGTTATACCAATCTTCTTCAGCCTGCAGAGCCTAGTTCGCACTGGGATTCTTTGTGGACTCTTTGAATCTCCAGAGAGTCTTGGCTGCATCTAGCCTGAATCCGGGCTGCCCCGACTCATTGTTGCGATGAGTCTGGTGTGTTGCGGCTAGCCTATTTTCGGACTCTTTTGAATCCCATCCTATGTGGGATTCTTTGACTCAATGTTGCGCAACATTTGCCAGTGTGGACATGAATCGGAACAAGTGCTTGCAATTCTTTACTTTCCTTGATATATTCTCTCAAACGATGAATGATGGTTTCGCACACTTCTGGAACGAAATCTGATATTGATTGTTTTGAAATCCTGAAGGTGTATATGAAGCTTGTATACGAGTCTCCCCACACACGAGTGGCAGCTAATCTGTGGCCGGAGAGATAGATTCCCGAAAGTTGGTATCTTTCTTGGAAATTTGACCGCCAACTTTCATTAAAATGGTTTCGAAATCGGTCGGGGACATCCTCAAAAAATTTCTGAACCCTGCGCCATCATTTAATCTCAATGTGTCCAAAAGATTTTTCCCGTGCTGATTCCCACCGTGAAATATTTGTCGAACTCACCATCTATTTGGGCATTTTTTAATGCACTTCCGATTGGATTCACTAGGTACAATGCAAAAAAGAGCAAGGGAAATTCCTGAAAGATCTAGTAGTTGCAACAATGAATCTACGCAGCCCTGACTCTGCTCCACGAAAAAGAACCTTGACCAGACCAAGATTTAGTTAGCATTCATCAATGCCTGCGAAAATGACGGAGGAACTAGCTCTTTCAGGAATTTCCCTTGCTCTTTTTTGCTTTGTACATAGTGAATCCAGCAGAGTCGGGGCTGCGTCACAACAATGAATCTACGCAGCCCCGACTCTGCCCTGCAACATGAATCGATTCAAAGAAGCTCAGTGCGTACTAGGCTTTAGAATCCTGTTAGGATTCAAAGTTTTTGCCAGCTTCTTTTGTTGCATTCTGTTGTTTCTTTCCTTCCAAAATTTGTTAGTTTTTTTTTGTTTTGCCCATTTAGGTAAAGTTTCTTTATCTTTTTTTTGTATTTTATTTCACTTTTATTAAGTATTCATTGCTTGTTATTATTTTGGTTTTATTAAAATTCTATTTTGTTTCTTCTCATAAATATACCAATGGCTTTGACAATTTTTTTTGTTACACCCTGCCCAGCAATACAGGGGGATGCCATTATTCACTAGGGTTTTTATGAATTCCTCTCATCCCTCCGAAGTGCAATGACAAGACAGTAGAATATGATCAGCAACTGCCCATGTCTCTCCTTTGCATTCATATGCTGGGGTTTGTCACATACCTGTTTGTATAAGTGAGGGGTAACTTATTGTAGCATAATTGTAGTCTGTTGTTGTTTGTAGCCTTCTTGGTACATTAAAAGTCGAGAACCACGGCTTGGCATCTACTGATGGTCGGATTGACACATATGCTTTACTTTTACCTTTGTTGTAGCTTTGTATTCCTTTTGCCATGTAGTTCTTCCCAATCTGGTTATATGGACCATGCTGGGTTCTTGGACTTTTATGTCCAATGAGTGAATTCCACTGTTTCCTCATTTTTGTATTGTTTTTTTTTATTTATTTATTTTTTTTGTCTCAGGTATTCATTGATAGTGTGAACCCCTATACAACAGAAGGGCTCAAGCACAGATAACTCCTAGTTCATCAAGGATCTGATTAATAGGCTCGGTTTCAGTTGAATTTCTTTGACAATAATGTTGTACATCCCAAACCACCTCCTCGTGCAGGCAAATGTGGCTCCACATTTGTTAGTAGGTGTGTAAGTGTCTTTTCTGGTTCTTTTCAGACTGCTCGTGTTGGGTTGTGTTATACCAATGTTATTCAGATTTAGTTTGCAGTGTCTTGTTAAGATTCAGAGTTGTTTTCTGCTTCCTTTAGTACATTCTGTTACATCTTTCCTTCCAAAGTTTGTTAGGAGGTTCTTGAATTGTTTACACCCCATGAATGAGTTCCATTGTTCTCTGTTTGTCTGAGGTGCTTATTGTGTATATTCCTATGCCACAAAAGGGCTCGGGTCCTATCATCAGTATAGAAGCCCCTTTTTTTTCAAGGGCATCCCTCAACCCTATCTGCATCAACTTTAGCAGTTGGCTGCTCACAATTGACAAAGCTCTGAACATCATATGTCCACAAGTGACAGTTTGGTCATATGTTCTGACTCCTTGTCTACCATCCGAGCCTTGGAAGACCCTTTTTTCATCAAACAGGATATCTGTTTGGCGTTAAAACTTCTTCTTCAACAGAGCATAAAATTTCTTTTTTTGTTGGTTTCTGGGCACTGCAGCATAATAGGAAATGAATTTGAAAGGCATCTAAGGGTTACAAATCAGAAAACACCCATAGATATGATTTCCCATTTAAAATCAGTAGTATGGCATAAGTGGGAATGCATCAGGTCTGATGTTCGAGGGAAACAAAGCTCCGCGAAGTAAAAGCCATCATGCGTGCTTGGACAACGTCTTGTAGGGTAAATTGAAGTGAGGTGATTTTGACCACTCTTACATTGTGGAATCACCAAGGGTCATTTGATGGCACACGAACTTCTCCCTATATGCATGGTGTACAATAAATAAGCGCAAAACTTGGTCATTGGACTAAACAAAAGCACCTACATAAGGATGCCCTCAAGGAGGGATACTATTGCCGCTTCTTTGGTAGATAGTAGTTGATCTAATTAAATAACTCATTGAGTTAGGATGCCTTACCATAGGTTTCTTAGATGGTAACAATCATAAAAAAGAAATTTGAAGATTTGCATCAAATCAAAAGTAAAGCGCTGTAAATATTATAGGAAGATGGTGCGAGAAAAATCTTCCCTCACTCTGCTTACTTTAGTGGATATAAAATGGTCCAAAGAGAGAAATCATTATTTGCGGGACCTATGTGACATTGTTAGGAGAAAAAAAAATTAAGTGAGAAGGCAGCAACTGAAAAATGTGCCTCTAAAGGGCAAGCACACAGCTAATCCATTAGCATCTTGGTTCAGACATTCAAGTTGGGAGACCCAGTCTAAATTGATTGCACTTCAGTGATTAATGATGTATCATTCAAAAATTAGTGCTAAGATTATTATTCTACGAGTAGTGAATTATCTGTTATGCTGGTTTGGCATCTTAGAGAGTCAAGAGATATGCCGAGATGCAATAGTGATGACACTGTGAAGGCACTATGAATCCAGAGTATATGAATAGTCAATCAGCAAATCTTTATGTTTATCAATAAATCAACTACATTCAAACAATCTGTAGTTCTTATTTGTAGAGAACTATCCTTTTGTATTTCACGCTTGTCAGTATTTTGGTGATTTGGAAACTATGGAGAATATATTAATATTATGAATATTCAAAACTTAGTTGTGGATCTCTCTTGGAACACCCTTTTAATTATAAACCAATTCTTGCTTCAAGATGTACACCTGTTTTCTTAGTAAGAGGCAATAAAAAATGGTGGTCCTCGGATTTGGTGTGGGGGGGGGTCGGCCCCTCTGGGATGACCCCATAATCCAGAATAGACACCTATTGCACACCTTTCCCATGGGACCTAATGGTTTTAATCAGGTGCCTTGGAGGGCCAGTTTAGGAGATAGTCTGTTGTGGGTAGTTAAAAAAAAGAAAAGAAAAAAAAAGAGTTTACTTTGAAACTTTTCTACAATAGCTCACAAGGGTATCGATCTAGTACCTAATGGTTTGGTTAATAATTATCAGTCAAGAATGTGAGCCAGGATTCATACACTACGTGTAGCTAATTATCTGTTTCAGTTAGTTTCAAATTATACCATGTTGGTATAGAATCTTAGAAAGCTTGATGTCTGGAATGTTCAACCAAGTGGGATGTTGTGATGGTTAGGGTTGGTGGAAATTACGGAATGTCCACAAGTTAGTTGTGAATTTCTTTCTTTCTCATTGAATTCTCATTTTTTATTATAAATCATTTTTGCATCATAAAATACATATATCCAGTAAAAAAAAATTATACCATAGTAAGGAATTGTACAAGCGATTGGTCCTTGGTACTTGGGTGGGTCTCTATCTTGGTTTAGGGGAAAGCTTTAGACCATATTGGCTTTCGGGGATTTTAAATGATCATAAGATCCAGTAAAGGAGTGGATGGCACACACGCACACCTTTCTTAGGCCATCTACTCTGGTTTTGGTAAGATACCCCAAACGGTCAATTTGGGAGAGATGCCAGTGGCAAGAAAGAAGAAAAAAATGCGTTATGCACTTTGAGCCTTTGCTAGTTTACTATCAACCTAGTACCTAATAGTTCAGCCAAAAAAAGGAATCTTGATTCACCAGGCTTAAAACCCTGACTTCATGCTATCTGATTGTGGTCCTTTCTGGCCACTAAATGAAATGGAAAATAATGGTTTACGTTTTGAGAAGAATAATTCATTGTGAGATTTCTTTGTGTTGTCTTCAGCAAGATGAATCTGAAATTTGATCGTTACAGATAATTTTAGTCCGCCTATCCCACTGGGTTGCTCTGTCAGACATGTTTCGGCATTTCACCATGTTCAGAATTTAGACTCACATAAGATGGCAAAATGCTGATAGTGTGTCGAAATGATCAGTAATGAATAAAGTTCAGAACACCTCCTGTATTTGGTGTAATAAATTTTAAATAAAACTGTCTTTCACGAAAAAGGACTTAAATGAAGATCTGATAAATAAATAGTTACAACAATAATTTCGGCGTTCTTCTGAAACTTTTAGACAAGATTTAACAATGGATATTGTTTGTGGTGATTGTCTATCTCTTATGATTTTTTTGTTTTTTTTTCATTTAAACAAGTGAATAAGTTTTTAGAATTTAATTGATATTGATCTTGAAAACGTTCACAGTGGAGCTTTCATTGCTAAAGTGGGCTTTTGGTTGTCATAAATAACAAACATACATTTAGGCATCATTTATTCAGTGAATATATTCTGGACTTTTTTTTCATCCTAAGTGACTGAAAACAGTTTAAAAGTTTAGATGTCCTGTGAAAAACCATTTCCTCAGGCAATACCTGGATCAAACTGTGACATTCTTCATGTACCTGGCTCAAATAAAATTTTATAATTTTATTTTATTTATTTATTTTTTAATTATCCATAAAGAATATGTATGTAAAAAGTATGTTTCCAGGTTGGCTGAGATTTGCCACTGTTTAAAAAACGTTAAAAGTGACATCTATATACCAAAAGAGCCAGTTGTCATACCTGAGGAATATGACAACTATATTCTTGCTAAGAGTTATTTCGATTTAAAAGAGTACGATAGGTAATTAGAGAATTTATTACAGAAAAAAAATTAAATTTAAATTTAAAGTCAGAAAATCATTTTTCTAGGTGCGCATTCTATTCGTCAAATTGTAACTCGCCTTGTATTAAATTTTTACACATCAATTCCAAGTATTTATCGTTGGAAAGGAAAAAAATCGACAACCTGACTGAGCTGTTTTGCGGCCCCGAGCCGAAACTTTCATCAGAGCTCCAACATCTTTGTACAGAACTTAGGGCTTTGTACGTCAAGCATAAACTCGACAGTTACTGTATGTACTTGTACGGCGTTGTTCTCAAGAGGTTAGACTTGCTCGACGATGCAAGAACCGTTTTGGCCGAGGCTGTCAACTTGGAGCCTCTCCATTGGGGTGCTTGGATGGAATTGGCCATGCTTACTACCGACAGGACCAAAGTATGTTTAAATAACATCCAAACGAATGAAAGGATAAATTTTTTTTTTTTTTTTAGTTGAGATCTTTAGTTTTACCTACGCATTGGATAAAACATTTTTTCTTGGCTCATACGTTTCTCGAGCAGCAGATGAATGATGAAGCGCTTGAAATTTATTATGAAATGCAGAAATCGGGATTTTCTGAAAGCACATATCTTCTAGCACAGATCGCTATCGCTTACCACAATAAGAGAGGTTGGTAATAACAGTATTTATTAGATACTTTTAATACTTTTTGTTTTTAATTAACGAATTTATTTTTATAATTTTTTGTTTAGATGTAGCCGAGGCAATAGACACATTTAAAAGGCTCAGGAAGCTGGATCCGTATAGGTTGGACAATATGGATGTTCTTTCAAATCTGTTATATGTACGTGAAATGAAAGTAGAACTTGCATATTTGGCGCAAGAGGCTTCTGAGATTGATAAGTACCGAGTGGAGACATGCTGCGTTATTGGTTTGTTCTGTTATTATTATTTCTTATAAACTGGGTTTCTCAGTAGGGTGTGTCGACCACAGCTTAAAGCAATATTTTTCATGGAGGGTGGTGTCCATTAACATAAAAACAATACAACAAAATAAAAACAAATAAACTACCCAAAATAACAACGAAAGGGCAGTGTTACTTAGCTGATCAGTGATATTGTTTTCTAAAGGCTGTAAAGGTAGTTCCACGGCACGAAACTCACTGAGGAAACTCGTCTCGCATTTTGTCGACTTAGACGGGACTGCGAAACTTTTGGCGCAAGTATGTTTCGGGGTCAGCCCAAGTGAGTGCCGGCTGTTGGTTTTTTTGTGTCATCCAATTATTTTGTAGTGTTTGTTTCGCTCTGTATAAACGCACTTTTCTCAAGTATGAGAATGAACCAGGGCTTATCTGAATGTATCACAGCTGCTGATTTTTGTGGGATGCTAAAGATCTCAGCACTCATCACTCATCAGAACAAGAATAAAAGTTAGGAAGAGCAGAAGGAAATTAGCATCAAAATAGGACAAACTGTTGGTACTCTTGAAGCGAAAATGAAAACTAATGGAGTTCTCCGATGAAATAATCGATCCACAGTATTTTCTTTGTTTGATTTTCTTTTTAATATAAAGTATCGCCATGGTAGTAAATGCTGATGCACCAGTTTGTGTAGTTATAAATGGCATGTTTGTCTCATGCAGCTGATGGCTCACTTTCTTTTGTCTTATAGAGCTGTTTGAGACAGCGTTTCACAAGTAATTCTCGCGTTTAGTTTGGGAATAATTTTTTTCACGCAGTGGAAATCCAGCTTTAAAATTGTGCACATTGAAAGTTGCAACACCTCAAGAGCTGTGGCTTAACCACTTAATGACATTGATGATCCAATGCAGAAATTGTAGGTTACCCTGACAAGTTTTTATTGTTCATCTCATTGCCTGCGACTAATTGCTAATTTACTTTCATATAAACTGTTCATAGTGTCTTTAAGGGTTTTTAAATTATTATTTTTATTTTTTTGTTCAATATCAACAACAAGAATTTTTTTACAGGAAATTATTATTCGTTAAGAATGGAGCATCAGAAGGCTGTGGTATACTTCCAAAGGGCCTTGAAATTAAATCCTCAGTATTTATCTGCATGGACGTTAATGGGCCATGAGTATATGGAAATGAAAAATACCAACGCAGCGATTCAAAGTTACCGTCAGGCCATAGGTAATCTATTAATATAATCGTTAACCCAATTAATCCAAATTTTTATTAAAATGGTATTTAGAGGTTAATAGGAGGGATTATAGGGCATGGTATGGTCTTGGACAGACATACGAAATATTGAAAATGCCATACTACAGCCTCTATTATTACAAGCAGGCACAGCTGTTAAGGCCAAACGATGCCAGAATGTTAATTGCCCTAGGTGAAACTTACGAGAGGCTTGAAAAAATTCAAGAAGCTTTGAAGTGTTTTTACAAAGCGCGGAATGTCGGTGACATCGACGGATCTGCTATACTTAAACTAGCCAAGTCAGTTTTAATTCAATTTTAAGCCTTTTGGATAAAATAAAAATGTAATATTTTTACAGACTTTACGATAAATTGGGTGATTCTGACCAGGCCTGCTCGGCGTTTACGGAGTTTGTTAATGAAAACGATCAAGTTTTAACCGCTGACAACAAAACCGAATTAAGTCAGGCGTACAAATACTTGGCGAATTATCATCTCAACAAGAACCAGCTCGACCTCGCTTACAGCTTTGCCCAGAAGTGTCTTAACTTTGAAGAGGTAAACATTTTCAAATTATATACTAAAACTTATATCTTATTTAATTTGTTACTCTTTTTAAGACAAAGGAAGAAGGACAAAACCTGCTTAAGACGATATCCCAAAAGACTGGACAAGACGAAGAAAAGGAAATGCAAATAACGTAACACTCAGTGAAACCTGTCTGGAATAATTTTCAGTTAATGAGGAACTAAATATAGTTTTAATTTGATCAAAAGTGATATGACTGACACTCAAATATTCAAAACATGTATTGTCAAAAGTATTTTGAGTTAAGCCAGGATGTAAAAACAAGTGATATTTTTTTATTATATACTAAAATTATTGATAGTTGTTTTAATGTAATATAATATTGCCTCTTCCTTTTTTAAATTATTTCAGCTTTATCTAGGTCTAGTCTATCTACGCCAGCAACACAAATTTTCTTGAAGAAAAAAATATCTTTTATTCAAATTCAGTAAGGTAAGTTTGCTTGTGAATTATTTAAATTGAGAAAACTGCTGACGATACTGCAGTATATATAGATAGTAAGCATCAGAAGAGAAGCTTGAATGAACAGCACAGTTGATAGATGGCTCTCGGAGGATCTGAAGAAGAGCGATCATCCTATAACAACAAGATGCTGTAATGTTTTTTTTAAACAGGTTTAAAAAAAAAAAAAAAAAAAAAAAGGGACATGGTGAGAGGCATGGAAGAGGACTGAGCTAAGCCTCCAAATATGCCTGGAGAACTAGGGCTTACACTCTTGTTCTCGATTCTGAACACCTTGCCACTCTTCTTTTTCCTTCATCAAAAAATAATGCAGGAGTGCTAGAAAAACACTGACATTTGGGTGAGGTCATTTATTTATTAGTTCATTCATTTTTGTGCATGCATGTGCAGATTTGAGCTTATATAAATCAGTAATCAGTAAATCCTTATTATATAGATTAATGTATAGCTGATTTATATAATATTTTTAATGGTATGCACTTTTAGTCATATTGACAAGTTTTGTATTTTGTCTTACATTTTTAAAAAACCATGTTGCTGACCACTCAGCGACTGCGTACCCCAAAGGGAATCAGGGCGTAGGTGGCCACAACGGTTTGGGCGCTCATCACTGTAAGGTCAGTCCAGTGGTCCTACATTCAAGCCTGATCTACAATTTTTTTTTTTTTTTTTCAAAAACACTTGCACCCCGAGGTTTCAAATAACCTTTTAAAAAAAACTGTAATTAATTGCAATTTGTTTTTATTTAATGAAGGAGTCCAATCTCTCATGATTTATTTCTGCCATTTTAATCACTGATGGACAAAATTAAAGCACCACTCAATTTATTTAGTTTAAAATTAAATCCTTTGTCTTTCTACATTAGTTACAGGTAATTAGAAGTCAACCTGGTCAAAATAAAAACATGCTTTGTTTACTTCCTTTATTTACTTTGGAACTGATTAATCTCATTTACACAAAATGTGGTATTACGCTCTTCCATTCTTCTACACCTAAAGATCTCTTTCAGTTAATCTTTTTCCTTTATTGATTTCATATATTATTTTAACCTTTTTTTAATGGCTCCGGTTAGGCATTTGATATTGAGTATAACAATGTCAGGGTGAAGTCGCCAGGTGACAGTGTAAATCACTCTACAATAGGAAGGGTTCTTTTGCACTTTAGGTATATGATAGAGACGACAGAAGAACAATGAAGAATCTGATAAGACAAGTCCTAAATATTTAGATTTACTCCAGGTCTGTAAGAAGACAATGAAAATAAACTCAGGGCCTCGCACCCAGCTCCTAGACCTCTTCTTACCACAGTTCAGAAAACATCCAGGCTTCAATTAACACAAGAACTTGTGAATTAGATGTTGGCAGATATGGGAAAAGTTCTCTTTATAGATGAGGTGAAAGTTGGCTTCAAATCTTCAGATGTGGGTTCATATGTAGGAGCTCAGAAGGAAGGTGCACCCCATGCTGTATGGTTCCTCAGGTGGTATTCCATGGTGGATCATGGATGTAATAGGGTGGCATTTCCTTGGAATTCTGCACCGAATCAGTTATTTTGCCAGGAAGATCCTTAACTACTGAGTACTAACAAGGCGTAGTCAAAGAACATATAATATCATTTGCCCCCCACATCGGCGAGAGATTTTCGCTAATGCAGGATAATGTCAGGACCTATAGGACATGTATTGTGGATGACTACCTGAATAAGGTTGGAATTGAGTGCTTAGTGTGGCCAGCTCAATGTTCAGATTTGAACTCAATCATACATATTTGGGACCAACTTAAGCAACGTGTTGGAAATGACTTCTTGACGAATGGGGAAGAATTCCTCAAGATTTTTTTGGAACTTTTTCGAAGGAATGCAAATGCGTTTAATGCAAGTGATTAATTCCAGAGGTGGAAATACTCAGTATTAAAGGGGACAAAAAGGATTTTTTACATTTTTATTTGTTGTTGATTTTTTTTAAAACTCAATATTTTATTATTTATTTATTTTAAAATTAGGTAATAACATTTTCTTGGGGACCGCGGTAGCCGAGTGGTTAGCATGAGAGACTCTCACGCCGCGGTCGTGGGTTCGATTCCCATCGTTGCCCCTGGCCCTTTTTTCCCAATAACCCCCCAAATTTGAACACACATATACGAATTTGTCACATGGCTAATATGCATAGTTCATAACGCAAAAAAAAAAAAAAAAAAAAAATTTCTTTTTAAATGTTATTTTTCAACTGAACCTATTTTTGGTATGCAAAATATGAATAAACCTACATACTAAATAGATTAAAATTTAAGGGTGGCATGTTTAATTTTGTTCATCAGTGTTTATTTTTATTTCTTAAACTTTTCAACTGTCATCAGTAATAAATGGGAGGGCTTTCCTTGAAAAATAGACATTTCAATGTTTTTTGTTTTTTTATTGTTTATTTTTATGGAAATATATTCTAAGATTAGTTCTTAGTCAGAACTAGATTTTTTAATTCTTTTTTTGTTGATGATATTGCACTCAGGCAGTGTTTGCAAAATGTTAAAGAAAGCTAAATATGGAATTTTTTGCAACAATAAAATTTAAGAAAAAAAAATGTCATAGCAATAACTTAACTAGAGTTACATAACAACAGCACTTCAGTGACTTCGATCCTGGAAAAACACTAACAATTAGTGGTGAAATAAGTAGATATTTTCTTCATACTGAAAAGAATTAAAATAGGGTTGGTTTTGTACAATTTACTGACAAACTCACTTTCTTTTTATATCGATTATAAATCAAAAAAAGAACCACCATTGTTGGATGAGTATTTTGCGAATGGAAAATAAAAGTGGACGAGATCAAGATATTATCGAATTGTCTATACTTCTGAGAAACTTGTTAACCTTCCATTAGACTAAATGCTTAAAAAAAATAATAATTAAAAAAATGAATTAAAATTTGTGTATATAATATCTCTCTATTGAATAAAAAAATCACAACAATTAACTACCTAGTACATATACATTATATACAAAATAATTTAGAAAATTTAATATAATTTGTGGAAATAAAAAGACATCAGGTAACGATGGTGATACAGTTCTTACATGTGGTGTTTGTCATGTAGGATAAATATTACATCGATATAATTATGGAGTATTAGACATACAATTGTCACACATATAAAATAGTATGTACCTACATTATTTAAAATAATATTAAACGAATGAATGAATACCAAATTAAAAAGGATACCATTACTAATTTAGGCAGGCATATATGTGCGACTTACATTTGTAATTACTACATGTAATAATTATAGTAAACATAATTATTTCAGTTTTTCACTATACACTAATAATACAATGTTTGCTTTTCATGTAATATACATCATCTTATCATTGATATAATCGTATTCTACAAAAGAAATTGTTTTTACTACATAATAGTTGAGGACATCACTAATATTAAATCAAAAATCATTTGTCTTCATATTATACACATTAATTTACAAAATGTACAATATTTGGAAACATTTGGGCAAACACAACAAAGAACTTTTATGAACTCTACTGACAACAAATACACTTTAAAAACTTTCATGTCATTTCACTTTTAGAAATTAATTCCTTGGTCTCGATAACTGATTTTTCTGTACGTTAAACAATACAAAATAATCGTTTTTCTGTTTACGCCTTTTATCACAGGTGAATAAATATGGAACTTGTTATCACTTTACTAGCCCCATTGTAAATTAAACATAACATGCCCTTATTATCTGCAATATCTCAGCAGAATTTCAATAAATAAAATCAACAATACATTACCGTTATATATAAATAACCGCTAATATTAAACGCAATGCCCCAGTCAACCGTCAAAACAGTCCAAGAAGAGATAAAATACAGAGGTCACCTTGATATTAAATAATTGTATAATTATAATAAATGACATTTACTTTATAATAATATACATCTTCTTTTAAATACCTATTTTATTTAATTTTATCATCAGTCCAGCTCCTTGTTTATCTCCAAACTTTCATGATCAACTTTAAGACTAGTTTCAAAATAGGAACATTGCAGCCGCACACTCACACCTCTGTCTTTTTTTTCTGTTTCTCTGAGTCTCAAACTTCTCGTGCAATCGATAAAACTATTAAGTAATCACATGACGTTTGGACAAGATATGTATTATGAACTCGCACGGCACAACACACAAGCACGCCCAATATCCGTATAGTAGAAGCTACTACACTTTCTAAGTCACTATAGGATACCCCTAAATAAGAATTTGGATGTGATATGTCAGGAGGGGGCCTATGGCTTGGGGGCATAGGGCAGATATCATGCTGCGAGCCCTTCTCCTCTTGGAGGCGGCATACTAGGAGGTGGAGAGGTTTCTTCAGTGTGGTGGCTGTCTTGCTTCAAATGTAGATCCCAGAGTGAAGGAGGTGTTGCACCTTGGTGCGACGTTTTCTCCGGTGATCTCGGCTCAGCCTTAAGCTCCCCAGGGAAACCGCAGTAGGACATCATCCCGTTATGGCCACCTCCACTTCCAGCCATCGGCATTTCCGAAAGCTAAAAACAGTAAAAATTTGAAATTAGTCCTACTCAATTCCAAACCTGCCAGGTGAAAATAAGTATCATATTAATGACAATCAGACCAGGATTTAAAAAGAAATTGACATAGACTACAAATTGATATTAGCCTTTAATATTAATAAAAATAGTCATTTGAAAGAAAAGAAAAATAATTGAAATATTAGTCCAAAATTTAAGCATTCTTCCTGATGTGAAGTTGAAATTGCGTGTTTTTCTTCTTTTTTTTTTTTCAAATTACCCTTATCGCTAATTTTTTAATGCAACATTTTTAAAGCTGACGACTACAATTTCAAGCAAATACTAACTTTTTGGTGGATGCCATTAAGGAATGGCGCCGGGAGGTATGGGTAGAAGAAATCTGGCCTTCTCTGGAGGAACTCCGAGTCCTTTGGAAGAGGAGGGATTTCTAATGACATTCTCCTCCCTCGCCGTGACGCTCCGTTGCTCCACATATGTGTACCCATGTGCACCTGAAATACAATAAAAAAAAATGCAATAAAATAAGCCTTCTTGAACATTGAAAATAGTGAAAATTTAAAAGTCTTGTCACCCTTGTGCAAATAAGCAATGGTTTTGTGAATACTAAGTAATAAAGGATGATCTTACCTTGAGGTTTCCCTTGGTAGTGAAAGCCTTGAGGCAGATGGAACATCGGAACGGCTTGTCTCCAGTATGGGTCCGCATATGGATCTGGAGAGCAGACGATGAGGAGAAGTTCTTATTGCAAACATGGCACAAGTGCTTGGGCAAGCCTGGAAACCACACAACCCCAAAGTCGTGCTTGTTAGATAGGCAGCATTCTCTCTCCAAACGGGCAATGGGGCATTGCCATTGATAAATGTGAAAATGGAACGTTCAAAACAACTTATTTTTTATTCTATTTAAAATTCCATTTCCATCAATCGTCATATGGCTTGATTTGAACTTTTGTATCTTTTCCCCACAAATTAAATTTCGTCCCATTTAATTATTTTTAAAAACTTTTTTAATGAGAATCAAACAAACTTCAACAGACTATAATTAAAGGCACAACATAATTATTATTAATATGCAATCAAAAGCCCTTTGTATATTAAATATAATACTTTAGTAATTAATTAATTAACTCAGACAACTTTGAAGTAAGTAAGCCAAGCGGGATAAGCAACAAAAAAAAAGCGGTTACGTATAAAATTAACATAATACACATATATATTGTAAGATGTATTTCCATTTGGTCAGTCACTCTATTTGCATAGAGGTATTATAACTGCAATATTAATTAAATTAAAAAAAAAATATTATGAAGGGTGACAAGACCAATGTTATACTATTACAAATATATATTTAATAAAATCAATTATCCTACAAAAATTACCATTTATTTTTACTCTTTTTCTTCAATGTTTACTGCTTTCTCTGCACTTTTTTCATATGGACTGTTTCTTAAAAATCACTCCTTTCTATTTTATAGAGGAGAGTTTAAAAAAAAGTTAAAATCTGTTAATTTTCTACTGAATACACTTTTCTTCTTACTAAAACATCATTTCGGGATTAAATTTTTTTTTAAATATTTGGGACGTTACATACATACATAGCTTTAAATTTAAAGTATGACTCCATGTCCTGTATGATGATCGTTGATTATTTAAGCCAAATAGAAAATATAACTGTAATAAAGATATTCCTTAATTAGTCAAATATTGAACTATTGAGTGGATAAAAAAATATTGAAGGATTTTTCTTTTTTGACATTTAGCGCTAACAAACTTGTGAAATAATTTTTGGTCTGGTCTTCCCAACAGCCCAAATACCAGTAAATACCATAGAAAACAAGTGAAAATTGATTCTTCATAAAAAAAACACATTTAATTTACTATCATGGAAACTAAAATTTGCGACTGTTCACAAGGTTGATATAAGATTAGGCTAAAGATTATGTTCGTGTGATAGAAAGAGGATCTAAGGACCAAATAGCCAATTCTGTATAAAAAATATGAAATGTAAATATTATAAATATAGTTTATTGTTGATGTGGCAAAAATTGTCCACCCAATCCATCATTTACTCCAGATTCTGTCCTTCCCGGTACAAAATTATTTAATGGAAAACCATTTGTGCCATTAGAAGCTTATAAACGCTTAAATAAACTGTGGTTTCAGTGAATTAGAGTGAAAATACAATAATAACTTTCTGGTAAGAGGCCTAGGAGGAGAGAGAGAAAGAGAAAGAGAAAGAGAAAGAGAGAGAGAGAGAGAGAGAGAGAGAGAGAGAGAGAGAGAGAGAGAGAGAGAGTGATAGAGAGAAAGAAAAAATTAAGTAATTTATGAAAATATTTTTCTTGCCTTTGTTGTTCATTTATTTTATGATTATTATGTATCATTCAATTTAAAAAAATCTAAGATTAGAAAATAATATACAGGATCGTATTGAATGAGATTAGATATTTGAAAAGTTACATAAACTAAAATCAGCTTTCAGTAAAGAAAAGAATTTTAGTAAAATAAAGGAAGTTTTGAGAAAACCAATTCGACGTTTTTAAACACCGTGTAAAGCCCTTAAACACCATTTTTATCACAAACCAAAAATAGTGATTTTTAGGTTGGATTTTCCGGGGCAATTATTTTTCCTGAAGATGTTTGATGTTCGTTTAAAAATCCATAACAGCTCTGAATTTCATCCAAATCGAACTTTTTACAACGGTTTGAAAGCGGGTTCTTTCTTCTTTCAGACTATGCCAACAATGTTTAGATTTTGTCATTATAAATGATAAAATAAAGGTGAAATTAAAAAATACCCTGCTTAAATGTTTTATTTTATTTCTCCGACGTCTGTGACATTTCGTGTATGAGGTTCTAAACCCCAGTAAAAAATGTTTCAGCTATTAAAGTATTAGCATTGTAAAAAAACCACATCAAAATTTGACAGTGAATGATGCCAAAATTGCTAAAACCTGGGGAAACAAGATGATATATAGAGAATTTTGGGTAACGAAAAGGTAGACACACTGGCCAGAGGAGGATCTCCAAGAGTATAGACCCTGAACCTATTCCTGGGATAACAAAAACAAATACAGAATCCTCCATCACAGAATGAATCCCAAACAGACAAAAGGAGAAGTGGATAAGGTGCTAGACACAGTAAAAGAATGGCAAACTCACTACTACAGTTAGAAAGGGCTAATCTCAGAGGAATAAGGTTATACAGGGTGAATTGCTACTCGTGCTACAAACTTCTCCAGTAGATTCTTCACCCTAAAATGAACAAAAAAGTTCATATTGTCCATGGTCCGATTCTCAACCATTTCAGAGTAATTTCGCTTTTTATCGATTTTGAAAGATATCACGTCCTGGCGTCGGAAAATCGTGATATCTTTTAATCTAAACATTTCTCTGAAAATCTAATAGCACCGTTGAAATTCCCGTTAATTTTTCAATAAGAAGATGACGGTGGCAAAATGTTTGGGCTAATTTTTTGTGTTTTATTTCAGCCAGAACTACAAAAAGAGTGGAAAATTGTGTAAATCGGAAAGTGTATAAAGTAATCCAGAGTTTCTAATTTTAGTCTCAGAAGGCAGCAAATTTGAGGAAAACTACCTGATTTAATAACGCTTCCAACGCACTCGTCATTTTCTTATTTAGTGGTTGTGAGACCAAGATGTTGATGACAAAAAGAGAAAAAATGGTGGTTCAAGGATTGCTAATGTTTGAGAGTGACTTGCTACTCGTGCTACAAACTTCACCAGTAGATTCTTGACCCTAAAATGAACAAAAAAGTTCATATTGACCATGGTCCGATTCTCAACCATTTCAGAGTAATTTCGCTTTTTATCGATTTTGAAAGATATCACGTCCTGGCGTCGGAAAATCGTGATATCTTTTAATCTAAACATTTCTCTTAAAATCTATAAGCACCGTTGAAATCCCCGTTAATTTTTAGAGAGAATCAAAATCATAATTCCATTGAAATTTTTTAATTTAATTTAATGCCCATTTAGTATGTAATGCTTAAGAAGTTTACAAACAGCTAGAAGGTCAAGGAAGAAAGACCCAAACGTTTTGCCACCTTCATCTTCTTATTGAAAAATTAACGGGGATTTCAACGGTGCTTATAGATTTTAAGAGAAATGTTTAGATTAAAAGATATCACGATTTTCCGACGCCAGGACGTGATATCTTTCAAAATCGATAAAAAGCGAAATTACTCTGAAATGGTTGAGAATCGGACCATGGTCAATATGAACTTTTTTGTTCATTTTAGGGTCAAGAATCTACTGGTGAAGTTTGTAGCACGAGTAGCAATTCACCCTGTATACTGGACAGTGGCATCTGAGTAAATACCTACACAACATTGGGTATGTTCAATGATGACCCATTTGTATGTTATGCAACGAGGAGGAAGAAATAGCCACCCATATCAACTTTGAATATGCTCAATGGAAACATAACTCGGGATACAAATAAAACCCGGGGAATGAAATTGCAGCAACTTCCTAGTACTTTTTAGGAGAATGATCGAGTCGATTGCACTGAAGTAAGGAACTAGGAAAGTACAAGCCAGAAGGCTGCATTGCTTAGGGAACAAAAATCCCACTTCCTAGCATTCATCATCACCATCAAACCGCTGGAAAGTTTCCCGTAGATCGGTGGAATCGTCTCAATAAGATTTAACACGATTTTTGTGTTTTTCGAAAAGAAAATTGGAAGGCAAAAATTTTGAAGAATTTTTTTTTGATATTAACAAAAATTCGTTTTTTAGGGGGTTTTTAGAGTGCAAAACACTAATATCAACTGTGTTTCTTGCTAGAAAAAATCTTTTAACCTAATTTGCAACCTCGTTCGGTGACAAATTATGTACTTCAATATCTAAGGTCCAAAAAGGTATGGCTAGCGGCCAAATACATTTTTGACGTCCGAGTAACTGAGCGACGTCGCAAAGACGGTTAAAATACTTTTTAGCAAGAAACAATGTAGATTTAAAAAAACCAAAAAAACGAACGATATATATAATAATTCGTTAGATTTCGTGGTCCAATTGACCAAATTGACATTCAATTAATTTATCTTTATCTCAACTTTACATAAACATTAATTAATTGAAATATATAATAATCTTGAAATACATGCGCACCAAAGGCAGGCAGACATACTTAAAATATTTTTTCTTTGGTATTAGGGCCTATTGGCAAGAACTCTCGGACCCGTGTCTAATATTTTTCCACTTAGTGCCATGAAAAAAGTTTCATTAAAATCGGTAATGTTACGCGTCCATATTTTCCCTTTGTAAGTTATAAACTTCTAACAGTTATACAAGCAACGCCTGGCAGAGTCTGCTTTATTTTTAAACTTAATAATAAATCTCATTATTCAACACGGTTTTCTAATTTGTGTATTGTAACTGACAACAAATCTGTACAGTCCATTATAATTTTTTAAAATACCTATTATTTAATTTTTGGTAATAGTCCAACCCGCCACTTTTAGAAATTGTTTTCTCTGTAGTGCCAGTACTATTAATTTAAATTAATTTAATTAGTTAGATTATTTTTGTAATTTAGGTTTAATAGTCTTACTTATATTTTATTATTATAATTTTTATAAAGTTATTACATTTTTCTGTAATAATCTGTATAACCTATGTAATATTTTCAAACAGCTTATTTAAATATTTATTTAGAAATCGTGAGATGCGGTTTGGTGTGATGTAGTCTGGTGTGATGTAGGTTTCAGAAAACATTTTCTTTATCGTGCCAACGTTTCGATCTTTATTGAGATCATCTTCAGGGCCTGGGATTTACAAACATTGTTTACATATAACAATTACATTTTGGATGCGGGAAAGTGTATACATTGTATAAAGTCACTTTTCCGCATCCAAAATGTAATTGTTATATGTAAAGAATGTTTGTAAATCCCAGGCCCTGAAGATGATCTCAATAAAGATCGAAACGTTGGCACGATAAAGAAAATGTTTTATTAAAACCTAAGTCACACCAGACCGCATCTCATGATTTCTAAATAAATATTTAAATAAGCTGTTTGAAAATGTTATATAGGTTATACAGAAACCTACATCACACCAGACCGCATCTCACGATTTCTAAATAAATATCGATTAACGGTCACTAATCACCGCACACAGCTTATTTAAAATTGTTCACCGCAACTTTTTTAAATTTTTTTAGTTTAAATCTATTTCATGATGATGAAAGTTTCTAAACAGCAATGAAATTGTCGACATTCTGAAGTTGTAAATAAAAGAAGGGATTTTAACAAAAAAACTTCTAGGTATTCAATGTGCTGGAAGAGAACTTTGAATGAAAAAGTTCTAGTTTCCAGTGTTAGTAATCCAGAATCCAAAAGTTCGCCAGATGATATGATTTATAATTAAAAATAGTCCAAAATAAAAAGTGCAGAGCTGAGCATTCTAAAATTGAAATAAAACATGTCTGCACTTACTTGGCTGTCTCTTCGGTAGTGGCATGGAAGGCGTGTCTCCTTGTGGAGGAGACCTTTTGACACCCAATTCCGGTTTGTGATGATGCGGGATTGGACTGAGTTCCCCGCTCGGCCTTTCGTCGTGGTGGTGAAGATGAGGATTGGCCATTTGGTGTTGCTGTTGCTGAGACTGCTGCGGCTGCTGGTGATTGAGCGGCTGGGGTATAACGGGTGTAGACGGTTGAAGCGGCTGCTGCTGAGGAGGTGTTTGTTGCTGTTGCGGCTGAGCCGATAATTGCTGCTGCTGCGGCGGTTGTGGCGGTTGGGTTTGCTGCGACTGATTCTGAGATTGCTGAGACTGCAGCGGCTCTCTCGGCTGCTGAGACATACCGCTCACGCTGGTAACAGGCCCAGACGAGCCGCTTCCGCCGTTTTTCTGTTCAAACAGGTGCGCTGGCATGTCTCGTATTTTGTGGGTCAGCATGTGCTGTTTCATGTTCCCCTATTTCAAATGACCGTTTTGAATTAGCAATTTGAATATTTATGATAAAAGAATTTAGTTTGAAAAAGTGATCAGAGGTAACGTGCAACTGGATAACCCACAAAATAAAAGCAAACTTACAGGAAATTATACAATTAGCGATTCATGCCTGATTCAGCGCGTTTTAGGCGTATTGGACAAGGCCTTCGATTGAAAAAATTGCTTACTAAAAGTGAAATGCATTTTAAGAACGTTGATAAACTTTCTGCTTACGAAAAATTATCGTTTTCTGACATCGTCCGTTAGAAGGAATTAAAATTTAAAAAATACCCCAAGAAGTGACACATATAATCACGGGTCATTTCCTAGGTTTTTAATCGGAGATGAGAAGACTGACAATTAAGACGAGGAGTAAGACAAAAGGCCCGGATTAAAAATAACACAAGAGACAGCCGTGAAAAATAATTGTAGGCCGTTGTACTGACTCGGTCATAGCTTGGGACACGTCCAAAACGCCACACGGCTAATTCCGGACAAAGCTTATAGAAAAAAAGTTGACTCACCTTTGTTGAAAATCCTCTGTCGCAAATGCTGCACTTGAAAGGTCTTTCCTTTGTATGACTCCTGTAGTGGATCTCGAGGGCGGAATTGCACGCAAACGTCTTGAAGCACAGGTTGCATGTCGTATTGCCCCGACCTAAGAGAAAGAAGAAAAAGGTGAGACGCACCGCGAATTGAATTGAAAAAAATGTGTAAAACATTCTATATTGTTTAATCTGCCGTATTATCGACCAAGTGGAGGAGGAATGCTAGTTAAGAGAAAACCACGTACGTCAAAGAGTGAAAAAGATCGAAAAATTTACTTGAAAAAAATCGGTCAAAGATGAGATCAACGAATACAAGAGAATTTTGCTTTAAATCTTTAATAGTCACGCGTCAAAAATGTAATTTCAAATAAAAACTGGCGCCGATACTCGAATCATACTTATTTGCAGGTTAAACGCGAGCATTCGGCAAAGACTTCTTAGACTGAGAGAATAAGAAGATTGCGGAACAAGGGCGTTTATTACCTGGTAGTTTACCTGGTGGACCAACCGCCAATCCTAGTGGGTTGAACGCCGTCGTCGTCAGCACAGAAGATGTCAGAGAGGACAACGCAGATGTAATTAGTGGCGAGGACGATGCCATCGATCCAGGAGGCATTATACCGAATCCGGTAAATAATCCTGGAGGCGGTCCGCCCGATCTGGGTGTGAGATCCAAGGCTCCCAGAGAAGACGATTCCGACGCCGGTGAAGGGCTTGTCGGATGTCTGTGTAAGTGTAAGGCGGAATTACTGGGATGCAGTGGTGATGGGGTTAGTGGTCCTTCAGATCCACTAGGGCTGTCTAGTCCTCTTGATCCAGGTGACTTTTCTCCGTTCACTGTAATATTGTCTTTGTTACTAGATAAATCTTCAACAGAATCAGTTGCAAATTTGGATGGGGTATAATGGGATGCAATGGTAGTGATAGTTCGAACTTGGTTCTCGAGGGCGGTAATGGAAGTGGAGAAAGCCGCGTCTGAAATAGGACTGACGCTACTCGCACGGCTCTCCTCAAGGTAGTCGGGTTTGTCCTCCTCCTGAGGGTTATACTGTGGTGATGGTGACCTCGGCGGGACATCTAGGCCTGGAAGAGAGGGCGGGTCCCTTGGGATAGTTAGGTGTTGGGGGAATTGAAAAGGTCTGAAATGTTGTTCGGAAGAAGGTATCTGAGGGATGAAATCTCTGATTTCTGCCGCCTGGATTTGCTCGGGTGTCAAATCCGTGGGCTCACCCGTGTGAAGCCTTATGTGTTGTTGAAGTACAAGGCTGTTAGTAAACTTCTTGTGACATACAGGACATTGGTGTAGCATTCTCATCGGAGGTTTAACCCTGTGCACGCCCATGTGGGTCTTCAAGTTACCTTTGGTAGTGAAAGAACGTCCACAGATTCTGCACTTGAAAGGTCTCTCACCCGTGTGAGTCCGATAGTGCATTTGTAGGGCACTCTTACAGGAGAGTACCCTGTGACAGATAACACATTGATTTGGATCAGTCATTTTATTTTCTATATTGTCGACTAGTTGTTGCAACTTGTGGGTTTCGGATGTCTTTGTTATTTCGATGAGGCTTTCCCACGAGTTATCCGTACTACCAGGCCTGGGCAGAAGACTGGAATAAATGGCCGGGTCTTTAATAGGATCGGGTTCTTGGGATAGAAAACCCCTGTGAATGCTACCGGAAGAAGTGCTACTAGTGGGGGAGACTATTTCTGGGAAGTGGACAGGAGGAGGCAATCGAGGATCGGGTGTAAAAGAAAAGTGACCAATGTCAGACGTACTTTTATTAGACAAGTTTTCCGGTTGGTCCTGCTGACTGTCTTCGTTCTTTTCCAATCCGGGACTATCTCTTTCTCCAGGAACGTCTTCTGAGGTATATTTGCTGTCGAGGCTGCAGTCATCGTACGGCGGAGGGGATGGATATCTTTCGCTTTCCGCCGTTTCCTGTTTGGGTTCCTGCTTTGGGCTCAATCTCTCATCTTCCGTCTCATCCGTTCTGGCTTCCTCTTTATAACGATCGGGGGAGGCTTTGCTGAGGTTTTCCGGCATCTCTTGGGGGCCGAAGACCGGAAGAGGGAGGATGGTTTTGTTCAAGGTATCGTGAGGCGGTCTGGGTTGGGGAGGTAAGACGAGATCGTGAGGTGGAGGTGGTCGATAGAGAGGAAGGCCTGCAGGGAATTGAGGTCCTCCGGAGTAGGGGGGATGCGGCCCCGGAGGGAGGCTCTGGTGAGCCCCCATCTGAGCCAGGAGGGGAGGGTGGTATTTGTCTAAATGTTCGGGAACTGGGTTAGGATTCATTTTTATATGAGGAAATTTGGCCGAGTGGCGTTGAAAGTGCACTTTAAGGTTGCCCTTGGTAGTGAATCGGCTGCCACAAACATTGCATTTGAAGGGTCGCTCACCTGTGTGAGACCTGATGTGGATCTGCAAGGCTGAGTCGCTACCAAACACTTTACCGCAATAACGGCATCTATGTTTGAAGAACGGCTCGTTCCTGCCTCCCGTCTTGGAGTCGTACGGTGAAAGGCTTCCTTTCCCACCGTTTTTCCTGAATGCTAGCTCGTCAGCAAGGTTACTGGCCAATAGACCTTGGCTAGCGTTGTCTAATACCTCTTGAGCCCGTTTTTGCAGCATTTCCAGAGTATTCGGCTCACTGGGAGATGGTGGAGGGTCGAGGTTTGTAATTATGGAAGAGGCGAACGAGGACGATATCGAGCAAGGAGGCAAGGAAACTGGAGGCATCGGAGGCGACGATTCCGCCTTGGGAGGAGCCGGCGTCGATTGACTGGGAGGAAGCGATTGGGACGTAGGCGGAGTTGGTGGAACGTCTTGACGCACGGGAGTAGGAGTTCTACTTGGACCACTCTGAGGAGGAGGGGAGGAAGGACTGCCCTCTTTCGGCCGTGTTATCTGCAATTGTTGCTGAAGTTGTTGTATGAGATTTAGTTGCATCATTTGTTGGTGTTGCAACGTATACAGTGTGGACTGCAAGACGGCCAATTCCTGAAGAGCGGCCGGGTTGTCGGCGTTATTCGCCATCGCCGTAGCGGCAAATTGCGCCACGGCCACTTTGGTATTTTGAAGGGCCTCCAGTGTGACATGGCCGAGGGGGAAACCGACTTCACCCTCGTCTTCCTCGACACTGTTATTATTTTCCGCGTCCTGTCGCTGACGTCTCGCTTCTTCTTGTTGTTTTTCCCCGTCGTATTCGTCTTCGGAGGCTATCGAGGTGGGTGTGGGACAAGATTTCCCCGCACATTCTTTACCGTGCTCGGCCAATTCCCCGTAATTTTGAAACTCCGTCTGGCAATGTGGACATACGACTTGTGCACTACCAGCTTCGTCGTCAGACCCCGAGCAGCTCTCTCCTAAAACATACAAAAGAGTCATCATTACTCATACAACGTACTCGTGAACTATGACAGACAAAAACAATTACATTTTAATAATGCCGCTTTATCCGCGCTGTTTTCGTAAAAACAAAAGAGCTTCATTTGAAGCGAGAAATAACAGGCAGATGAGAACAAAGAGTGAATCGTTATATTTAGTCGGATACAATGGCCGTTGAATATCCTTGAAAATGTACTTTTTCCCTGGGTTAAATCGTTTGTCCGTGACCGTTTTGGACAAAGGTCGATTTATCAGGATATCTAACGATCGTAGAAAGCGTTGGTCCGTGGTGCCGCGTTTATTTCTATGCTTGATTTAATCTTAAATCAGTGACAGTCGGGGTGTAAATTTTAAATTACGAAAGGGTGACCAGCGGACAAAGGGTCGCTCGATCGCTTCACAATTTCTCAGGGTTGACTTCTCGTTGAAATTTATAATTAGTTTCTTCATCCTCTGACCCGGTCCCAAAGGAGGCAGAGCATAATCCTGAAATATTGAAACCAACCCTTGTTTTTGTTTACAGTCTATTACATCTGCGGAAACTATTTATAATGCGACGGTAGGAATAGGGATAAAATGGGAGGACCAGGAATAGAATGAAATGTGTCGCATTAGTTAATGGCCGAAGACAGGGGGCCACGACTTCTGGGTTGAACAAGAGGCAAAAACCCCTCACGAGACCTGACATATTTATAAGGGTGAGGTAGACAAATGGGCCTTAATAAAACACCCGGTTTGGTGGAAAATCTTCAACCCTCCTTATTAGTTAGGCTCGGGGGGGGGGGGTGAACGCGTGGCGAACACCCTTTTCACCCATGGAATGAACCACAAAAAAAAATTCATTCATTTTTAAAATGTACGATTTTTTCCCCAAAAACAAAGTTTTAGATTGGGGTGACTAGCTTTTTTGCCCATAAAGGAAGGGAAGTGGTTAAAATAGTTTTTTATTGAAAAAATCTTGGCTTAATTGGTAAAAGATGTGGGTTGCTGTGATACCTTATGTATGTTGTATTTTCCTTGTGCTTATAATGTTTTAAAAGAAACAAACTTAGTAATATGACAAAGTTGGTTCAAACTGACATAAATAATTTTAATTTTTAAAAATTTGTATACCTAATAATAATATATACAGGGTGAGTTAACCAGAACGGCCATTCTCTGCAACTATGAGGAATTTTCAAATTCTGCAAAATATTTTTTAAATTTTTTCCCCGATTTACGATAGTGTGGAGTCAAGGAATAATTCTTTGGTTTGTGTTTGTGCAGATGTAATACACAGTGGAGAGACACAAACACAAACCAAAGAAATACTTTTTTAAATTTTTAATACAATTGGACAGTGCTTTCATCCCCTTTCATCCTCTTTCTAATGGATTATAATTTTCAAAAGCCGGGTTTTAGTTTGGGGTTACCAGCTTTTTTGTCCATAAATATATAATACACAGTGGAAGTGGTTAAAATAGTTTTCATATAAAAATTCAACATGTACCCCTCAAAGTGTTTACATTACCTAAGTTCGTCCAAAAATGGCTGTATCGTTATTAAACTGATTCGAACTTGTAGCCTATTTGATTTGATGTATTTATTGTAATCCCTGTATAATATTGTATAATTGTAATTTTATTGTAATACGATAAGCCATCAACAGATTTGATTAATAATTAAATATATTTTGAACAGATTTGGCCAATTTGCCAAAGTTATTGGTTGAATATGAATGTATGTATGTATTTAAAAAAATAGCATTATTGTTTATCCCAATTGCTAAAGTTTGCAATACAAAAAACAAGAAAATGATAGATGATTAAATTTTTTTTTGTCGAGGTGAAAAACGTGTTATAGCGATGTAAAATCCATATATATTATGCAGGGTGGGCGACCAAGACCCGAGGAGTTAAATGCCTGGGTAGACTCGTACCCCATCCCTAAAAGGTCCGGGACTTGGTCGGCTCCAAGATTTGGGACCATTTAATCTCGTAATTTTCGACCAATTTGATTTGGTGATCATTGATCCTTTCCTTCAAAGATTTCAAATCTAGACCTAGCATACCTATCACACTCTGCGAGGTAGTGCCTTGCCGTTTCCTCCTTTTTTATTTCACCAAAAACGACGAAAAGGATCTGGTAGAATGCCCATTACGGAGAGGTGTCTTCTCAGTGAGCAGCGGCCCGTCAGAATACCTATCAGCCTCCTAATTCCTTTCCTGATGTAAAATCCCTAGGGGTTTACATATAAAATTTGAAGTTGTGTCCTTTGAATTCGAATTTCCTGAAATTCGCCCAATGTTATTCTGTATAGTAACTGCGAAAACAGGGGGCGTCGGTGGCCGCCGGTTTAGGCGTTGACACGGCGCTCATCACTGTAAGGTAAAGGTCCCGGGTTCGAATCCAGCGGCACCCTGAGGGTTTATATGACCTCTGCTGTTGCGAACCCTCGTAAAAAAAACACAACAGCGAAAACAGTCTTTTGGATTGTAAAATTTATTTTAGCTACCGAAAAAAATGGCCACTAATTTTAGTTAATTAGAAAGCCCCTAGGAATCAATTATAACATTTTTCTTTCGTGTAAACATTTTTTTTCCTTTCTCAATGTTAGAAGTATTAAAAGTAGCGATTTGTTTTAATTCCAAGCCGTTGGGAGAAGATAATCTCAAAAGGGAAGAAATATGAATCTGCTAGGAGTCAGCAATAAATCCAGCGTTTCCGACAAGGGCTTGTTTTTATAAGGGAGTCTAATAGAAAAGGGTGGCCGCTCCCCGGGACGGAGGCCGGCGGGGGTGAGGTTTCCCCAAATGCGGAACAAGCTGAGGAAGTACCTTGACGTATTGGGAGCCGGAGAAAAAGGGGGATTTAGTGGAGGCGTGTGCCCCGGGTCTTCAGCTGTTTTTAAAAATTCCTATCGGGGTAAATCAGCCGGATGTGAAAAAGGGCCGTTATTATTTTTCCTTATGTTACCTCGGGAACGTGTCCCCCCCGCACCGACAGAAATAATATCCGGGCCGGTTTGTTTCAATTTGACCCGATTGTTTCAGACGTTTTCGGAAGGAATTGAAGCCTTTCATTGTTTGCCGAATGGAAAAGGGTTGCGGGCTTCCAACCCTGATTGCCTCCGGGGCGAAGCCACAAAACAGAACCAACTACAAATTAAATACATCTACACTACAGACCACCTTTTTTTCTGTCAGTATCTTCCAGGATAAACAGAGGGATCGACTAACGTCCATTTAATTGAAATTAACAACTAACAGCCTAATAATAAGTGAATTGATTAAATCATTAACTAACGGTCACTAAACACCCCTCATTAAAAAATAGTCATTTACATATTATTTAACTGAATCGACGATTTATTTACCAATGAGAAATTACAGTGCACGAAAAAAACCACTGATGCTTTTAGAATTTCAACTATAAAATACACGACTACCTCAAAATCAAAGACCTACCCAACAAGCGTTATATTAATTGGAAGCTTTTTGCCGTATTTGGCAGATTTAAAAAAGGGAAAACACTCTTGAATGATATTTACATTAATTAATTTATAAAACAACAATCATCCTTCTAAAAAATTTTGTCACTGTTTTAACGAATCACATCGCTCATTATTGGCCCGGGCTCCAATTGAAAAGGTGTCATAAAAGACTTGGTAATAGTTATAAAAATACTGGACAAAAATGATGAAGGATAGTAGAAATACACGAAAATTATTTCGGACGATGAAAAATTAATTTTCCACCGTAACAGCAGGTTAAATTAATTTGGTTTTTAACCAACACAACCTCGCCACATCAAACATAAATAAATGGCCAAATAATATAACTAACGAGCTTTGGAAGAAAAACAATTTAGTTAGAGGGCAAATTCTAGACAAAAAATTGCATTTTCTCACTGTCTATTTTTTTTAATACATAAACAAAGGTTCGATAATGAAAATTTTTCGAAACCCACTTTTCATTGTGGCGTTTCGAAAGATGAGAAATTAACTTTCAACCCGTTAATAGCAGCTTTAGGCCATAAAGTGACTTTTCAGTCAATTATAACAGGTTCCAAGACCTTTATAACTTTTATATGTCCTTAAAAACAATCGATTTTTTTATATATCAAAATCGATAATTGATTAATTCCAACATTCATTATTGACCATGATTCCCCACCAAATATATCCTGAAGTTGGAAGTAGTTTGAAAACTGTCAAAAATCCTCAGTCTTTGTAAATAAAGTTCATTAGAATTTCAGTTTCCCCGGCTATTTTTACTTATTCCATTTGTAGATTAGAAAAATACACAAAAGATGATAAAGAATCTCCGAAATCCAATTTCCATTGAGCGTTTTCAAAAGATGTGAAATCAACTTTCGATCGATGATAGTAGATTTAGGTCGTAAAACACATAAAATGATTTGGCAACCAATTATAACAGGATCGAGGGGGGCGTCGGTGGCCGCAAGGTTTAGTCTTTGACACGGCGCTCATCACTGTAAGGTAAAGGTCCCGGGTTCGAATCCTGCGGCCCTGCATTCGAACCCGACATACTTACAAATGGGCTTTTTTCAAAAACACCGGCACCCCGAGGGTTTATATGACCTCTGCTGTTGCGAACCCTCGTAAAAAAAAAAAAAAAATAATAATAATATAACAGGATCGAAGAACTTTATACGCTTTATATATGTTAAAATAGCCCATTAGGTTATATTATATCCAAAATTTTGCTGGTGATAGATAATTAAAGTTCCAAAAGTCAGTATTGATCCTGGTTATGATATCACATCCTAAAATTGGAAGTAGTTTGAACACCAACAAAAATACCCAGCCTTGGCAAATAAGAAGTTGACGAGAAAGTACGTAATCTAAAAATCGCATTCTTTCCACGCTATCTTTTCTACAGCTTATACAAAAAATAAATAAAAAAATTCATGAAATGGGTTCATTGATGAAGAATTTTCTAAATCAACATTCCACGTTACGAAGGATTTCGACAAA